TCCCGCCCCAGGAAAGCAAACTTCTGTCTCCTACTCCTGTCCTTCAAGCAAAACGCCCTATCCATAAACCAAACTTGGCTCCCCCCAAAAACAATAGTTTACCTTCCTTAATGTCTTTCGTGTGACTTCCCCATAGTCGATCACATTCGTCGGGTAGCCTGGAAAATGTATTGGATGTTTCCACAACATTTTCCCAGGCATCTCTTTTTTTCCTCGTTTCTACCTTTCCTTGTTCTTGATCGAACTTTTTTCCCCTGCTGTCCAGCCACTGCCCATTTCCCTTCTTGCCCTTTGGGACTCAAAACGGGGGATACTCGAATCTTTTTTTTTTCTCGGTCATCGCCAAATTTTTTCCATATTCGCCAAACCTCAATTTTTCCTTAAGCTTTGGTAAAGTTGCTCGATGGGGTCTTGCTTCAATTTCTAGAGAGCGCGCAAACAGGTTTTTTCACAACCCAAAGTACACGTCAACACTGTTTTTTTTTTTTTTTTTCTGATGGATTTTGTCGGGTTTTTCCCAGAAGTCCTTTTTGTGAGGTCTTTATCCCCAGGGTTTATTGCTTTTCCCCTTTTTTTCATGGGAAATTTTATTTCACTTTTAAAATTTTATCCTAAAAGCCCTACGAACTACTACAAAATCATATTTTTACTGTTATTAAAAGCACAGAGTACTTCACTTAAAATTGTATCTTCCTGACAGTTGAAATTGGGTTTATCTTTTATTGTTCCCTGTATTTTTTCATTTTTTTTTTGATAAAAAGGGGCAAAAAAAAATATACTTCTGTACCCTGTTTCCTGCTGACTAAATGTGGAAAGGGTCTGACAGAGCACGCGTCAGCCTTTACAAGTCCTTCTTTAGGTTAACCTGGTGGGACTCTGTAAAGACAAAAATAATATTATAGCAAGATTGGGGTGATTGTATGAAAAACTGAAAGGGTTCCCCTTTCTCAAAATTATGTTTTTATATTACACCAAATTTTTTAAAAGCAGCAAAGCTTGAGAGCCAGTAAAAAGGCAAAAGCAGGAAAAAAGGCAAAGAAGTCACGATTAAAACCTCGAATAAGATCCTGTTTTGAAGTTATATATTACCGTTAAAACCCGTTTAAGAGTGATATAAATAGAGTATGATATCGCAAAAATTAAAAAAATTTTTTGGGAAAAGGACCAATAAGTGGGGGCTCCAAATTCTAACATAAAAAGTATGCAGTTAATGTCAGGGAAAGCAAGCAATTCATTTTAATTTTTAAAACTGTTGGAAAAGAGCGCCATTGTTCAATGTAAAGAAGAGAACATAAGTGAATAGGAAATAGTGTTAAGAAAAACTAATTTTTTTTTTCGATTTTCTATCTTGCCCAAAAACCCTGACTGTTCGGAAATTATTTATGTGAAAACCCTTTTTTTCCATAAAAAAAAAAAACTGGCACAGAGGGACGCCCCATTCAATTTTAAACTCTGTAACCAAGTTCCCTGCAGATTGTTGTATTTTGAATTAAATTTCTTCATCATGGACAGCATTTATAAGTTGTCTCATATTTTTTTTGTTTGTGATACTATTTAAATGTTTTCTGTAAAGCTGGGGGGGACCAGCTCGTCAACTAAAACGGGAAAAAAAATGTGAATGGGGACAAAAACTGTAAGCTAAAGGAAAAGGTCAAAAAAAAAAATCTTTTGAAAAAGCACTAGACTTATCAAATCTAAAGCCATTTGAATTAAAAATTGCAATATTATTTAACATATTCGGTAATTTGTTAATAAAAATTTAAACCAAAATTTCTTCTGGGGAAAAAAAAAAATAAAAAATTGCATTTCTTCCCGTAAAATTTTTCCCCGGAAATGGGAAAAAAAGCGCATAACGGTGTCTCACAGAGGACAACATCAAGCGATTGGGAAGGTGCCTCTTTGCCCCCTGTCTTATATTTCCCCTTTCAACATCCCGAGGGAATGACCCGTAAAGCACTTCATTTTATATTTAACCTATATAAGCAATCACCTCCTGGTTTGGGAGTAAAAGTAATTTATTTCAAAATCTACAGGGTTTGGGTTTTAAACACAATAAAAAAATTTATTACATTGCTTTTTAAAAATTATTCCTACTGCAGTAAAAAAGCTAAAAATTTTTCAAAACTGTTTAAAAACCCTTAAACGGCCCAAACGATCGCTTCAATTTTGTATTGCTACAAAATAGTCTATTTTTTTACTATTTTTCAAATAACAAAAAAAAAAAAATTTTGATAAAAGTTCTTTTACCGTTTTCAAATGTAAAACAAAAAAGAAGATCTACATTTTTTTTCATATTTCGATGTTGAAAAAACGTTTTTAACTTTGGCTTTTTTGGGGTTAACAGCTTTCCCACTAAAGCAACCAGGCCCAACCAAAAGCTAAATTAATGTAGTAATTTTTTCACCAATCATTTTTACCAATGATTGTCTAATACCCTGCAATCTATTTTTATAGTTTTTAAAAAAAAAATATTTTTTAGCAATTATTTAGAGTTGTAATATGAATTTTAGGAAGTTGAAACAATTTATAGTTTTCTGTAACACCCAATTATTATCTACCTTTGGCAAAAAAGAGCAATTGGGAACCTCCTGTAAATGGAGCACCTGCCCCTGCAACAACTCTGGTAGTAATGTAGTGTATTTTTGTGGTCAGCCTAATACCCTCTTTAAAACCTTTGTTAAAGATACTTCAGCCATATCTGTTAGACATGTCAAACCCCCCTGGAAAACATTATTGTGTCATATATGAATCCTAAAAATTTTTGGTACGCAAATTTTTTCGGATGTTGATTTTAACAAATAATAAATCACTTTTTTAACTTATGAAAGGTAAAATATCTTTGAGGGGACAATTGCACAATTTTAAAATGCCTTTTATAGGCCTGATGGCCCTTTTTAATATCCATTCTGGCTAAAAACAATACAAAATGTAAATAGTTAAAAACAAACCCCCTACTTTTTTTACTCTAAATTTACAGTAGTTAAATATATAGTTGTATAGTTTGGGGGGTTGTATATGAGGAAAAACCCAAAATTTAAATTTTTTTAGCTTCTTTTAAAAAAAAAAACCTGCTCACTCTGAAAATTTTTTTTTTTTTTTTTTTGTTAACACATTGGCCCTTTCCCCAAGGCGGGGACCAGAAAAAAAAGACAGGGTTTTTATCATCACCCCACTGTCTTGTAGGGAATGCATCCTATGTTTAAAAAAAAAAAAATTTGCAAAGTTAACACCCCTCCTTTTGGGGTGCAGGCAGTATGCCCCCTCCAGGACTCAATCCCGCTAAACCCGTTTCCCCGAAACCCCTTATAAAAGTTATTTGCTTGCACCCACGACATCATCATAAAAACAATTTATCGCCACTTCTCCTATCTAAAGCACTCACGCACGCTTGCTGGAAATCAAGCCCCCTTTCACACAAAAAATCCTTTACCCCCTCCCCTCAACCTTTCAGGCGACCCCTTTAACCCCCCTTTCTTTCCCCTACAGTTTTTAAGGGCCAGTTCGGGTTTACGCGCGCGGATGCAAAAAAAAATCGAAAAAAATTTAAAAAATTGAGTTATTGTTACCAAAAATGCTGAATTCTGGGTACACTTGGGATAAAAAATTTTTATCCTTTTACGATGTTTCTAAAAAGGGTTACAACCATTTATAACAGGCTGGTGACAGCGCTGACGCAAATATTTCTAAGAACGCTGACTCGCTTTGTTGACGTTTTTGTTAGTTTTTCCCCCTGTTTTTTTTTTACGTTTTTTTTTACTTTATGTCTAAAATTTTTTACAAATTCACCCTCTGAGTCATGCCCGAGTGGGCGGGTAATTATCAAATAACGTCAGGACCCCCGGGATGTACCCAAAATGGCCCACACCTCCCCCAACAAAATATTCAATAAATTTCCCAACCCCCGCTAATCAATTATAAGGGTTATTTTTTCTTCACAATTTGATCATTATGACATAAACAATATAATAATAGCTTAAACAAAAAAGTACACCTTTAAAAAAAATAATAGCATAATATGACGCCCCAAGGAAAAAAATTTCTATCGATTTTCCCGAAGTAAGAGAGGGCCGTTTTTCCCTCATCGTGATCAGAGAAAACGGTTTACAATGGTTAACTGTAAAAAAAACACTCGTAGGTCGCGGAAAAAGTGTAAAATAAGGCAAATTTTTTCGGGGAAAAAAAAATTATTTCCCGGGCAGCGGGGGTGCCGCGCGCTTCGGCCTATATCTCGAAAGTAACTTATTTACCTATTTAGGGGGAATGCATCCTTATTTATGAATGAATTGACTTGATTTTCACAACAAAATAGGAGAATGATTGATTTACACGACCATAACTTTTCCTTTCTGAACTATCCAAATATTTTTAGATTTATTTTGGGAAACAAGACCGACATCTTCCATATGACAAAAAAGTTATGAAACTTTTTTTTTTTTTAGCATGAAGATAAGGTTTAATTTTAGAAAATTTACCTATCTCATGATGGAATTAGAGGGGGTTCTATCAGCAGCAAGTGTCAAAACCACTTTTCCAAGTACCACTGAGAAGGACTCCCCTGCCAAATGCAATTTTTCGTAAATTTTGCATATTTCATTTACTTTTTGGCCGATATGATTGAAACTTCAGCACAGGATGTTTTATATAAGCTTCTAATAGTACACCAAAAATGAACGTAATCGGTTGAAAAATAAAAAAGTCGATATTCACACCGGAAGGTTCCCTTAAGCCCTCCAAGTCATTCTATTTTGCTCCATCCTCTCTAAATGCCCAAATTACCTCAACAACCCTTCCACTGCCCTCTGGATAATACTTTTGGAGACCCTGCACCTCCTCCTAATCTCCAAGCTACAGATTCTCTGCATTATATTCACACTGCACATTGTCCTCAGACATGGCATCCCCACTGCCTCCAGCCTTCTACTTGTTGCAACATTTACCACCCATGCTTCACACCTATATAACAGTGTTGGCACTACTATACTCTCATGCATTTTATTATTAGGCCTAATTTTTACTTACACCTTAATGCTTAATAATTTTGGCACATGTTGGCCTATGACTGGTGCTGGAATTTTACATAGGGTGACTTGCAAGAACACAAAGGATTCATCTTCACTACTGTCCTCCAGCAATTTTTTCTTCTTTTCCTCCTGTGGCTTAGAGGATAGTTTTCTAATTCCAATAATGGCTTGTCGTATCTGCAAAAAATAAGCAGAAGATTAAAAACATTTTGAAAATGACTTCACATTTTAAGATAAAGAAAACTATTATACAGCTTACTAGCAATGATACACATACATTCAATTAAAAACTCCATCATTCAGTTCATTTACAGAGCCTTGATCAGGAGGGCTTAACTGAGCAGTTTATATATTCTACACTTATAAAATAAGACAAAAATAATGCCAATAGGGAATTATTTAGTAGGGTTCTAGTACATGTGATGAGTTCTGTACAATATAATTTAAGGCAATTTGCTTTTTGTTACAAGGGATAATAAGACTTGCATCAGACCTTTTCCATGACATCTAAAATATTACTAATGCCTGAAGCGAGTAGCAGCTTTGAATTCCATTTTGGTCTTGATATACTGTACTCGAGCTTAATAAATAATGAAAGAATCTGGCTATGCAGATGATGTACTGTTGACTGCACTCACCATAAATGCCAAGAAATAATTTATAAGTTAATGATGAGCAAACTTTCATTTAACTTTTAAGTCATATATCTAAGTGTGTGAAGAGAATTGAGTTAGTAATCTAAGTAGACCAACAAAATGCAAATTTCTTGGCAGACCCATATTAACTAAACCTTATACTCAGAAAGGAATTTATGCAAAGTATTATTTGCACAGAAAAAAATTCTCAATTCTCTTCACACACTTAGATATATGAATGAAGATTTATGCATTTATGAACTGCTAATTATCTAAACGTTTTCAAAAGAATATTTATTTGCCTGTCAATGTTTTAATCTATATGGCTGTGATCTAAGCAATGTAAATAATAGAAAATGACTAAAATATACCTATGAAGGGGTGGAGGAGAGAATGAGGGGCTTTATCTGAGCCCTGTAGCATAAACAAATAAGTAAAACTAAGCCAAAATTTCTATAAACATTGCCTAATCAAAGAGGATATCCTGGAAAATCTCCCTTAAATTCATGGTCAAGGGTTATTTTTCTCGAGTCAATTTTATCTACCATTTTTTCAGGATCTGTTGCACTTTGCATCAATACCTCAAAGAATTAAAAAACTTTAAAACTAATATGTATTGGCTTAATACAACTACCATTTATTGTGAAGAATTTTAGAAATTAAAAAAATTTGTAAGCATTTTTGAGATACTGTAATGCCCCAAAACTAACACACACAATCTATAAAACAAGCAAAAAAATATTCCTACTAATGATACCTAATCAATTAATTATATGATTCTTCTTAGAGGAAAGGCATGTAGAAATGAAAGGTATACAACTAAGTTTTCAAGGTGAAAAACCTTGAGCAGGCTTCAATAACTGTTATCAATTTTGAAAAACTGACACTGCAACTAAATAAATAAATAAAAAGTTATGAATTACATGTGTAACAGATGCTCAGTCTGACAAAGAAAAAAATGATAGTTATAGCTGTGGAAATCATAGGAAGCAAAGAAAATATTCACTCACAGTGTCTGGATTAACAAGTTGTGTTGGGTCAGAAATTTCACTGATATTCTGATTGGATGCACTTTTGAACCTTTCAATATCCTTTGAATTTTTTCTAAATCTTGCATTAAGTAACGCATCTCTCGGATGTAATTTTAAAGGCAAATTATTTGAATCGAGTCCATTATTAGTGTATTTTGATTGCTGAGCATGGGGAGATTTCTTAAATTTAGTTTTCAATTGCTTCTTGCCAGCTCCTGGCTTTTTTGACACACCTTTCTTCATGGTACCTGCTTTTTGCTTCTTGATCTTCCTTTTGGAAATTGAAAGGTCATTCATTTTAGGTTTCTTCTTAAGTTTCAGTTTGGCCATCTTCATATTCTGGAAGGATAATTAGCATAATTAAGACACATGGTAATGAAGTATGAGCATGCATAAGGGACATATAAGGAAGGATTGGAATAAGTACGAAAGAGGTATTAACAGGTAAGAAACTTATATAACCCATATAACGCTCTTATATGGGTGTGAAGTATGGGTGATGAATGTTGCAGCGAGGAGAAGGCTGGAGGCAGTGGATATGTCATGTCTGAGGGCAATGTGTGGTGTGAATATAATGCAGAGAATTCGTAGTTTGGAAGTTAGGAGGAGGTGCGGGATTACCAAAACTGTTGTCCAGAGGGCTGAGGAAGGGTTGTTGAGGTGGTTTGGACATGTAGAGAGAATGGAGCAAGACAGAATGACTTCAAGAGTGTATCAGTCTGTAGTGGAAGGAAGGCGGGGTAGGGGTCGGCCTAGGAAAGGTTGGAGGGAGGGGGTAAAGGAGGTTTTGTGTGCGAGGGGCTTGGACTTCCAGCAGGCGTGCGTGAGCGTGTTTGATAGGAGTGAATGGAGACGAATGGTTTTTAATACTTGACGTGCTGTTGGAGTGTGAGCAAAGTAACATTTATGAAGGGGTTCAGGGAAACCGGCAGGCCGGACTTGAGTCCTGGAGATGGGAAGTACAGTGCCTGCAATCTGAAGGAGGGGTGTTAATGTTGCAGTTTAAAAACTGTAGTGTAAAGCACCCTTCTGGCAAGACAGTGATGGAGTGAATGATGGTGAAAGTTTTTCTTTTTCGGGCCACCCTGCCTTGGTGGGAATCGGCCAGTGTGATAATAAAAAAAAAATAATAAACTTAAAATTTATTACATATGGTTTTACAGACTACAGTATCAACGACTGCAACTGAAGCACAACAATGATGGTAAATTATGTAGATTTAATCTAGGGTAATTTGTGGTTAGATATACATTTTAAAGGCTTACTGTATGTAATTTAACCTAAATCATAAACTGGTCACTACCTCACTGCAATTTAAAACAGCCATTAACAAACTGTTCACTACATGGCTGCCAGTCAAAAGTACAATTCCAACAAAGAAATAATAACAAAAGCATTCAAAATATGCATAAGACACCACAATCTTGCATACTAACAAAAATATCACATCTACAACCATTTTTTGTAAATTTCTCAAGTTGTGAACGAGACGTAATACATATTGTTAATAGTAATATTAGACCACAGGCTCATAAGCCCAAGCACATATACACGCACTCATCTATACTAAATGTTAATGGTTCAAAGGTGCTGTGCAATTAAAATACTCTTTATTTCCAGTAATATCGGAAACAATTATAGCCACAGTTTATTCACATCTTTTAATGAGAGATTTTTAAATTTGAGAATTTTCAATTTGTATGCAATATGTTTTATCAGCATTTTAATGTTATTAGTGCAAGTATATCTTTAACTGGTTGACACATGGTTATTTTGGTATTTTTGGTGACATTTTGTAGTAATTACTAAACTATAAACTAGGCTGAAGAAGATTTTAGATTTTGCCACCGAAGTGGCTAGTTTATTGTGCACCCCATATCCATCCTGTGGACGGTAGCGCAAGAGCATATGGATACACAAAAGGCCTAGGAACTAGGCCCCAAAGGGTTAACAGGAATACATATGGATTTATATCTACATATCTATAGTTCACTTATCTGTTACAAGCAAATTTAGGAAATTTGCTTAGTATATCTGGTATCTTATTTTCATTAATAAGATATCTTGACATGTCACATAGGTTATTATACTGTCTGTCTCTGTATTCCTCAATAAGTGGACAATTAAGCACATAGTGTTCAAGAGAGTGACCATATGCCTGATCACATAATTTATATTTAGTTTGATCATCATCTGTGTGTCTCCCAAACTGCCATAAGTACTTGTAACCAAGCCTAATCTGGCCACTACAACATCAGTCAGTCTGTTCACATTGCAAGTTGCTCCATAAACATACTTATCTACGTTCATGTTATCATAGTGGGTTATAGATCTACTCAGGCTTCTAACTGCATTCCTATAACAATCATTTTCATTATTTACTTCTCTCCTAATATTATTCCTAATGCTAGACACAGTTATACCAAAGTTACATTCTACGTTCTCCTTCTGGGTACTCTTCTTGGCTAACATATCAACTTTATCATGAAGGAGTAATCCAATGTGTGATGGGATCCATAGCAATTGTACATTAATTCCTTTGTCCCTAATTTTTGAGTATCTATACCTGGCTTCTCCAATGAGCATGTTGTTGGAGTCATTATATGAGTCAAGAGCCTTCAATGATGACATAGAATCAGTAATGATGATAGAGTCAATCTCAGTGTCATAGGTTAGCTTTAGCGCCATTAGGATTGCAAACAATTCAGTTTGCAGTGTAGACGCCCAGTTGTTAATTCTTATGCCTAACTCAACAAATTTATTATCGTTCTTAACTAGGGAGGTGGCAACAAGAGCAGATGCAGCCCTGCCAGAAGACTCCTGTTTAGATCCATCAGTGTATATAACTTGTGATAACTTATTACTACCAGCTAGGTGAGAAATTTCTTCTTGAGCAGTTGCTCTAACAAGAGATTTAAGGAAGGGATTACTAGCAATGAGCTTCTTGGGAGGGACTTGTAGGTATGTGATATTAAATGAACACATCTTCCACGGAGGGGTGAAATGCTCTTGTTTCCTACAGTGATACAGTTCATGCAGGTTATAAAACTTAATGCAATTGCACGTTTTCACAATCCATTTAGATCTGTGTGTATTTACCTCTAGACACTTGGTAAGATTCATTGTGACAGTGTCTGGTTCATTTCTCAACATTCTAATACCGAGTACAGTGTTAATCTCAACAATCCTATCACTGATACTAGAAATACCAAGCTCCTTCCTCATGTTAAGAAATTTTGTAGATCTGGGACAGCCAAGAATAATCCTGAGAGCTTCATTCTGCATTAACTCCAAGGGTCGGAGAGAACTTTCTCTAGCTAATATAAACATGGGAGCAGCATAATCAATTAAGGACCTAACATAGGCTATGTACATCATTCTCACGATTCTCACATTAGCACCATAGTTGGGATTGTAGCCAGCAACAGCTTTGAGAGCATTTAGCCTAGCTTTGCATTTCTTGTTTAGTTGTGGTATAGTGGATTTGTTAAAGGGTACATCTACACCAAGATATCTGTAAGTTTTAACGTAGCTAATGATTTCACCCTGCAAATAGATGGGTGGGGGATGTCATTTGCTTGTTAATATCTTTGTTTTAGAGGAAGATATTATGAGGCCTAGTCGATTACAAATTGCTTGAACTTCATTAAGAATGGTATTCATCTTCTTATGCCCTGTTGTATGGATCATGATATCATCAGCATAGCTTATAGCTATATGTTTAGGTGAGGCAGGTAGAGCATTTAGGAGAGCATTAATCAGAATATTAAATAGCATGGGACTAAGAACTCCCTGCGGTGTACCTAAAGACATTTCTTAAGAATCACTTCTGAAGCCTTGGTAAAGGACAGAGGATACTCTATTTGACAGGTATCCTATTATCCAGCAGAGTAAGCTACCACCAATGTTCATTTTGGCTAGTTCATGTAGTATAACGGTTCTGTTCGCAATATCAAATGCAGATTTTAGATCAAGAAAAGTGGTAAAACTAGTAGAGGTGTGTGCAGTGAGAAAGGTGGAAATACAGTTCTGCACACTTTTACCTTTTGAAGAAGAGAAATGAGGATTAAAAGTTAAATAAGTCTGTTATTTAGGCGCAAGCTTCAACAACGTAAATTTCCCACTTAATAAAGTTAATATGATTAGAATTGAACTCAAACATAAGAGATTAATGGGTCAACCCCTCAATAGTGTTTCAGTAATTTTTATTTAAATTTTGGGTACATAAACATATTTTGTACAATGATCCTGAGGGCACATAGATATTAATGACACATAAAAAGCACATCATTAGGCGAGTAAGTAAGTAAGTTTATTCAGGTATACACAAATACAGTTACAAAGAATGATCATACATAGCAGCATATGTGTAGAGAACTCTTAACCTAGGATATCCCAAAAAAGTCAAACACAGTGACTTATTTCCATCCGACACATCATATGACTTATGTCCAATTAACCTCTTGTCTAATAGTTTTTATTACGGTATGTCTGACAATTAACTCACCTGTGATCACAAGCTGGCCCAAAAAATGCAAAACAGGAGCCCAGTATATTAGTTATTATGAAAGCAAACGGTACCAGCCAGAAAACAGCAACACGTGACGACGCTTCACTGGTGATGGAGTCAGACACGAGACCGTCCTTAACGAACCCACGAACCCGGACACTCATTCACAGGAATTACACACCTCAAATTCAAATTCAAATTCAAAGTTTATTCTCTATGATGATTACAATGCTGAGTTTACAGAATTTGGTTACTGTGTGGTTTACATGTAGTAAAATAATGATTACAGAGTGTACCATTAGAACACCTAGCATGGCTAGGCATTTCGGGCAGACCGCGGGTTGAATCCCGGCCGGGGTATGGTTTGTTTGCAATCGTGTCATTACGATTTCGTGAGTCAGTTAGTTTAATTCTTAATTTTAAAATATTACAAATTATGAGGTAAGTTGGTATTATGGCTAAGTGACTAAATACTAGTTTGTGAGTTTAGCAATGTGAATGCTTTTGTTTTGGCACAGTACATAGTTTCAGTATTGGAGTATCACAGGATTCATTATTTTAAGAATGAGATTAATATTTCTGTTTATGATCAAATGGGTGAGTGAGTGTAAGTGTGAGCCACCAGGTGGTATTCGTGTAGTTATTTGACGGGGTGTATCAGGGAGATAAGATGTTTTCTAATGGTAGTTTTGAAGGTGATGAATGTGTCTGCAGTTCTAGAGTTCTCAGGTAGGGTGTTCCAGATTTTAGGGCCTTTGACATAAATTGAATTTTTGTAGAGGTTTAGTGGGACACGGGGAATATCGTAGAGATGTTTGTGTCTGGTGTTATGCCTGTGGGTTCTGTCACAAATATCAAGAAAGCGTTTTAGGTCAAGGTTGATATTGAAGTTTAAGGTCCTGTAGATGTAGATTGCACAGTAGTAAGTGTGTGTGAAAATTTGTGTGGACTGCCTCCAAGTGAGTCGCCTACCCTGGCAAACCCTGTTGACACCGAGCTCTGAGGTGGGTACCTCAGCCTCACAAGTGGCTTATAGGACAGATTTTCACAAATGATTGATGTTGCAAGAAACTCGCCTGCATGCACGTATAAAGGACTAACTTACTTGGTGTTGCAGCATATATCCTGATGTTCAACTTCCCTAAGCTTAGCCTTAGCCCCTCTGGACTTTCCCTCAGAAACCACGTGCAACCAGGAGCCTTAATTCCTGCAATATTCAATCGTTATTAGTGTCCTGCCTGCACCTCAGAAATTCCTATATCCAAGAGGGTATGTATCCCCTAGTATAACTATGCAGACACGGACACTAGCTTCCAGACTGCCTTGAGACACTGGTACTTACTGGGCATGCTCTGCCAGCTGCAACACAGGCCCACAGATCAAACTCACTCAAAATCTCCCCAGACACTGGCCAGAAATCTACGAGATAAAGTGGAGGTCTTGTCTTACTGTATGGGCCTGACGGAGGTCATCTACGGTACATCGAGGTGCCTCTACCAGATTTCCCCAGGTCTCAAATGTGAAGACACGTGGGGGGTGCCGTCTGCTGATCACGGCACGTCTTGTCCAGTTGGTGTCTGTCTTAATAAGAAGAACGAGCTGGTCTCTCTTCCAGACCCTCGTCTCTTCGTTCAAACTAGGGCTGCCAGTTCTCCCTAGCTAACTTATCCTAGTGTTTGCCTACATTATCGGCCTATTACTACCTATGTTAAGGTCTTAGGTCTACATTATTATTATCTACAGTTGCCTTAGTAAACCTATTATTAGTGTACTAACAGTAAAACTACCTACTCCTTTCCTGAAGGGTAAATCTATAAATTAAATAAGCTTACCAACAATCCACGCCAACTAGAGAATGCTTTGTTTTGGGTGGGGTATAAGGGCCACCCAGCTCAGCCGTCCCATTACGGCTATGCTGGGACCCTTCGTACGTCGTATCTGTCCTGTGATAAGATAAGATAAGATAAGATTTCGTTCGGATTTTTAACCCCGGAGGGTTAGCCACCCAGGATAACCCAAGAAAGTCAGTGCGTCATCGAGGACTGTCTAACTTATTTCCATTGGGGTCCTTAATCTTGTCCCCCAGGATGCGACCCACACCAGTCGACTAACACCCAGGTACCTATTTACTGCTAGGTGAACAGGACAATAGGTGTAAGGAAACGTGTCGGAATTTCCACCCGCCGGGAATTGAACCCGGGCCCTCCGTGTGTGAAGCGGGAGCTTTAGCCACCAGACCACCGGGCCACTGTGGAACTTTAGGGACCAAATAAATTTCCACAGTGTGGATGTACTGAACAGGGAGTAAGTTTAAAACTATGAAGAGTGGGGGGATGTGTGTTGCCAGGGATGGGATTTAGTGATTATTCTTACTGCGGCCTTTTGTTGGGTTATTATTGGCTTTAGGTGTGTTGCTGCAGTTGATCCCCAAGCACAAATAGCATAGGTGAGGTATGAATAAATAAGTGAGTGGTATAGTGTGAGAAGGGCATTTTGCGGCATGTAATATCGTATCTTGGAGAGGATCCCAACCGTTTTGGATACTTTTTTGGTTATGTGTTGGACATGGGTGCTGAAATTCAGGTTGTTGTCAGGGTATAGGCCTAGGAATTTGCCCTCATTATATCTGGTAATTAGAGAGTTGTCGATCTTAATGTTAATTTGTGCATCTCCTGCTCTGCTACAAAACATAATATACTAGGTTTTGTCAGTGTTAAGCGTAAGTTTATTGGCTGGAGTATACCTGGAGAGAGTTCCCGGGATCAACGCTCCCGCAGCCCAGTCTGTGACCAGGCCTCATGGTGGGTCAGGGTCTGATCAACCAGGCTGTTACGGCTGGCTGCACGCAATTCAACGTACAAACCACAGCCCGGCTGGTCAGGCGCTGACTTTAGGTGCCTCTCCAGTGCCTGCTTGAAGACAGCCAGGGGTCTATTGGTAATTCCCCTTATGTATGCTGGGAGGCAGTTGAACAGTCTTGGGCCCCTGACACTTATTGTGTTGTCTCTTATCGTGCTAGTGGCGCCCCCACTTTTCATTGGGGGGATGTTGCATCGTCTGCCGAGTCTTTTGCTTTCGTAGGGAGTGATTTTCGTGTGCAAGTTTGGTATTAATCTCTCTAGGATTTTCTGAGTGTATATAATCATGGGTCCAGGGATTGGGCCCCAAAGTTCAGCTATCAAAACTTTGGGGTCCAGTCCCTGGACCCATTATGTACCTCTGTAATCTTTTGACTACTGCCCACAGGATGGGTATGGGGTACATAATAAGGATATTAAACTAAAACTAACTATATAATCATGTATCTCTCCCGCTTGCATTCTAGGGAGTACAGATTGAGGAACTTCAAGCGTTCCCAGTAACTGAAGTGTTTTATGGCAGTTATGTGTGCCGTGAAGGTTCTCTGTACATTTTCTAGGTCAGCAATTTCACCTGCCTTGAAATGTACTGTTAGTGTGCAGCAATATTCCAGCCTAGATAGAACAAGCGACCTGAAGAGTGTCATGATGGGCTTGGCATCCCTAGTTTTGAAGGTTCTCATTATCCATCCTGTCATTTTTCTAGCAGATGTGACTGATACAATGTTATGGTCCTTGAAGGTGAGATTCTCTGACATGATCACTCCCAGGACTTTTACATTAGTTTTTCGTTCTATTGTGTGGTTGAAATTTGTTTTATACTCCAATGAAGTTATAATTTCCTCACGCTTTCTATATCAGAGTAATTGAAATGTCTCATCAATGAAGTTCATATTGTTTTCTGCAGCACATTTAAAGATTTGGTTGATGTCCGCCTGGAGCCTTGCAATGTCTTCAGTGGAAGACACTGTCATGCAAATTCGGGTGTCATCTGCAAAGGAAGACATGGTGCTGTGGCTTATATCCCTGTCTATGTCAGATATTAGGGTGAGGAACAGGATAGGAGCGAGTACTCTGCCTTGTGGAACAACTTTTCACTGTAGCCGCCTCAGACTTGATTCTGTTTACTAGTACTCTTTGTGTTCTATTTGTTAGGAAATTATAGATAGAGCTACCAACTTTTCCTGTTATTTCTTTATCACGCATTTTGTGTGCTATTACACCATGGTCACATTTGTCAAAGGTTTTTGCAAAGTCTGTGTATATTACATCTGCATTCTGTTTGTCTTCTAGAGCATCCAGGACCTTGTCACAGTGGTCCAGTAGTTGGGACAGACAGGAGCGACCTGCTCTAAACCCATGTTGCCCTGGGTTGTGTAACTGATGGGTATCTAGATGGGTAATGATCTTGCTTCTTAGGACCCTTTCTAAGATCTTTATGATATGGGATGTTAGTGCTATCGGTCTGTAGTTCTTTGCTATTGCTTTACTGCCCCCTTTGTGGGGTGGAGCTATGTCTGTTGTGTTTAGTAACTGTGGGACGACCCCAGTGTCCATGCTCCCTCTCCATAGGATGTTAAAAGCACGTGATAGGGACTTGTAGTTCTTGATGAACACGGAGTTCCGTGAGTCTGGGCCCGGGGCAGAGTGCATGGGCATGTCATTTATCGCCTTTTCGAAGTCATTGGGCGCCAGGATATTTTCAGATAGGTGTGTATCTACCAAATTCTGTGTCTCTCTCATAAAAAATTTATTTAGGTCTTCGACTCTCAGTCTGGTTAACGGCTTGCTAAAAACCGAGTCATATTGGAACTTGAGTAGCTCACTCATTTCCTTGCTGTCATCTGTGTAGGACCCATCTTGTTTAAGTAGGGGCCCAATACTGGATGTTGTTCTCCACTTTGATTTGGCATAAGAAAAGAAATATTTTAGGTTTCTTTCTATTTCATTTATGGATTTTAGCTCCTCCCTCGTTTCTTGGTTCCTTTAGCTTTAGTTCGGTGTTTGCTATTTCTCTGACCAGTGTCTCCCATTTTATGCTAAATAAACGGAATGTTGAGTGAGATTTGAACTAGATGCTGCTCTCACTAGGGGCAAAGACACTGCCCCTAGGGAGGGACAAATCATAACATTAGTGAGACATGTACCTGGTATCCTACTTTTAGAACTGTACAATGTACAACATGGGTTGGTTACATTCCTCGTGGACAAATAGCATTATCATACAAATTCTACAAACCTAATCAACAGAATGTGTTTCGCCCCATCTCGTTGACTAGTTGTCTAGAGTGTAAAACATTTGAAAAGACAGTGCTTAACAGTTTACTGTACAGAACTGAACAGTAGTAAGTTTATTCAGGTATACACAAATACAGTTACATAGATTATCATACATAGTAGCATATCTGTAGAGAATCTGGGATAACCCAAAAAAGTCAGACAGAGTGACCCCAATGGAAATAAGCCACATTGCCTGACTTTCTTGGATTAATTTTTCAAAGATTTTAGAGAGAGGGTGTAAGTTGGATATTGGCCTATAGTTATTCAAGTCTATTTGGTCTCCTCCTTTATGGATCGGGGTGACCCTTGCTATTTTGAGAACTGTAGGAAAGGTAGAGGATTCAGTGGATTTGTTAAAGAGTGTTGCAATGATTGGTGATAGCACCTGTGACACTTTTTTGTATATAATTGGTGGTAAGGTATTTAAATCTCCTGTCTTGTTTTTTAGTTTGTTGATAATAAGGGAGACTTCAATTGGGTTAGTCGGAGCTAGGAACAGTGTGTTCGGGTAGATTGCCAGTGAGGTAGTCATTGGGTGGGGTATCTGAGCTTGGGATTTTATTGGCAGGGTTTTTTCCTATAGTGGAGAAGAAATCATTGAGTCTGTTTGCTGTTTCAGTAGGTGGGAACTGGGGTTCATCTGGTTTTGTTAATTAATTTCGCTATTTTGTGTTATCTTTTTTGCTCCTAGTATTTCTGATATGGTTTTCCAGGTCTTTTTTATGTCACCTCGTAAGTTGGATAATCTGTTCTCATAATACAATTTTTTAGCCCTTCTTATTAGGCTGTTGTTTATGTTCCCCATCAGTAAAATGGGTACCTGGGTGTTAGTTGACTGGTGTGGGTCGCATCCTGGGACAAAACTGACCTAATTTGTCCGAAATGCTCTTCATAACAAGGGGCTTTTTGTATAGTAGTATGTCAGTGATGTCAGACAGGCTTGTATATCTTGTACATGTACTTGTAGAAATAAAGTGTCACCCGTTTCTGTATAAACAATGTATTACGTTGAAATGAACGTGTACTTATATATGTATTATGCTCATACTATGGATAGTAGAGCCAAGAAAAACAGGATCATAACTGTCACACTGGGTCTGCATCAGATCCCGGCAGTCATAGTTACATCACTTAAGAATATATTACAGTCAATTTATGCATATTATAATTTTCTTTATATAGTAAATGAACATAGTACAATATGGAATAACGATCTCAAGGTCATCTACATGTCTTTTATTAGTCATTAATGAGTTGCAGTCTCGTCAAAAATAATTTATTCATCTAGTAAGTTTATTTAGATATAGGTCCACATAAGTACAATTATCATACATAGTATAACACAAGTGTGAATCACCTAGGATAACACAAAAAAGTCAAAGTGACTTATTTCCACTGGACCCTAGTAGACGCAAAACTTGGATATATTTTCAAGATTTCAGATATTTTATCGTTAACAATGAACTGTTATGCCATGTCCTGTAGGGTCATAATTAACTCCAAGTCAGTGTTCCAATGAAAATGGAAATAAGTTCCAAGAATCTAAAGGAAATAAGTAACTTTTTCCTGACTGTTTGGGGGATGGTTATCCTAGCTAATTTACACATATCTTACTTCGTATGACAATTTGTGTAACCGTATTTATGTGTACCTGTACCTAAATAAATTTACTAACAGTGTGTTGCCCTGAATCCGCAGTAATCTGCACAAAATGGAAGTAATCTGTAGTAATCCGCAGTAATCCTGAGACATGATGAACGGTAGTGTTGTTATGGTCTGGCTCACCTGATACACAACACCTCTGGCAAGTTCTTCTAGTCAGGTTTTATTAGTTTTTTCCATTAGCGGCTAGTAATATCGACTTTGATTGTATTATGTAGTTAGCAAAATAACCCAGCACTCCTATGACATAACTAGTTTCTCGTAAGTTGTAGATATGAGATAAGGAAATTTTTTTATTCCGATTACTAACCCAAAGGGATAGTAGCCCAGGATAACCCAATAAAATAACTTGTTAGACTGCCTAGAGTATTTTCATTGGGGTCATTTAATTCTATCCTCCAGGATTAGGCACTACGAAAGGCCAGTAACACCTAGGCACCTATAACAAAAAAAAACATAAGCCTGTTTCATTAGGATTTATTCATTAAAAAAATGTTTCGGACCTGGAACTTTGATCACTTCTGACACACATGTTCCAGGAGTGAAAAGTTTTCTCATAAATATGTCCAAGTGTTTGTTCACGTGCCCTTTTAAACCACATATCGTTGTCAAGTTACCAGCATTTATACCCCCCAGGTACCTACTTACTGCTAGGTATCAGGGGCAGCAGGTGTAAGGGAACTTTCCCAGTGTTTCCACTCATCCAGGGACCCAAATCCAGAACTTGAGTCTTGAGCTGAGGCTGCTACCAATAGTAGTACTATTTCTTATGGTTTCAGAATTCTTCCCCCCCCCCCCCACATCTAGCTTATCAGGAGGCAGGTATGGAAATCTCGCTACCTCACACCTGCCTTGTCAGGAGGTGGGTTATGGAGAACTCTTTCCCACACCTGACTTATTAGGAGGTAAGGGGAAGATTCTTGCCCCCAACATTTGCCTTATCAGGAGGCAGGTGTGGACCCCAATGGAAATAAGCACTTTGACATTTTTTTTTTGGGGTTATCCTAGTTAATCTACACTTATGCTGCTACGTATGATAATTTATGTAACTGTGTTCATGTACCTGTACCTGAATAAACTTATCTATTCTTGCCCTTCAACACCTACCTTGTCAGGCAGGTGTAGAGGACTCTTGTCCACACACCTACCTTATCAGGAGGCAGGTGTGAAGGACTCCTGCCTATACACCTGCCTTGTCAGGAGGCAGGTGTGGAGATACTCTCTCCTATCTTAGATCAAAGCTAAATACCTCCCATTTCCCAGGTGCTGTATGACTTCCAGATTTAACATTTCCTCATAAATAATGTATCATAGGATATAAAAGGCAGTTGTTTGGCATTTGAGTTGTAGATAAGTAGAACAAACTGCTGTGACATGTCACTGATGCAGTTAATTTGGGTAGCTTTCAAAATTCAGTAGGTTAATATATACTTGAGCAGAAATAGTTGGGCATGATTAAGATCTGTCTAGCATATTGAAGTGCTACAGTTTTTATATTTGCACTGAGGAAAAGAACTTGAGTTCAGTGTTGAATAATTAAAGTGCTCTAAATTGAAGTTTTGGCTCAAATACAATTACAGTGTCACTGTTTACCTTTTATTGTGACAAATCCGCTTATTTATTATATTATAAATAACATCCGTTCTATCCATTCCAAGGGATAAATAATTATTTGTTGTGGAAATTGTTTATTTAGGTGTTAATAGGCAAAAATAAAATATCTTTTACTATGTAAATTCTTTTTTTATTATGTAGGTTTTGTAATGAAAACAGTTATATTTTGGACAAACAAGAAAGAAGGTTTATTTTCATAAGTAGATTTATTAATATAGCCTAGCCTAACCCAACCAAAAATAACCTAATCTAGACTAGCCATAAAATTGTCATTTGTGTTATATAAGAAAGGTTGGTTAAGTTGGGTAACATTAGGTTAGGTCATACAAAATAAGGTCTTTTCCTATAGGCATTGAAAATAAAGTAAACACTGATCAATTTCAGGTACAAAATTTAAAACTCAAAATCAGGTGAATCTCGTGAATCATCTTTTAAGTGTACCGTAAGAAACATTTTGTATCGGTAACAGTTATACATAAATTTATTTTTCAGGTGTGTGTGTAGGAGAGAATGCCATCACAAGCTATAAAGCCCACATCTCTTGGGATGACAGGGATAAGAAACAACGACACCTGGACAGATGGCCTTCCCATCTGCAAGCTCTCGGGTACATTTCATTAATTTTATAAACCAAATTATTATACAGTTATTTATAACTGAATCACTGAAGCTGAAACTGTTATACAGTTGGCACTGAACCCACTGGGGTCAGTGTCATTTCTGCCATTTGGGGAGACACAGAATGGAAACCTTAAGATTGACCCCCGTGTATAGTAAAATATTGTGTAGAAGTGGTTGGCCTGCCACTGAAAGCTAGGTTAGAGATGCAATTTGGCATAATGTCCTGTAGAGGGCATTACTGTATATAAGCTGTGTGGTAATGCTTTCGACTGTCAACCAGGAGACTAGGTGTGACACTGATTGTTTAGCAATTCATTTGATGAAAGATTTCAATAATGAAATATTTTTCTCAGGTGTTGGCATGTCTGCAAACCAAATGTATCGTGAAGATGGCACACCTTGCTCAGAGCATGAATATGAGGATCGCAGCATTCACTTTTGTCTTGATCATGAAAATGGAACTTACCTCTATGGGGTTTTTGATGGCCATGATGGAGCAAAGGCTGCGTATTTTGCATCACAGGTTAGTAGTGTTCAGCACTTAGCCTGTCACAACTGCCATAGCAAGAATAGGGAATGTTGTTTATCTCAGATTTTAAACTTTTACAAACTAAGACTGCTTTTAGGTTCCAAAAAATGTATCATTGCATGCTTAATCAAAGTAGCACTTTGTGATGTGCAGTTAAAGCTTCAATGCAGTAATTTATAGAAGTGACTGAGAGTTTTAAATGCTGATCCATTAAATCATGCATAATTTATGTAGCGGTGCAGTGCAGACAAGTATGGGTAGTATAAAGAATATACAGAACAAGCTGTTATTGGGACTATGTTTTGCTCAAGTTTGAGTTTTATCAAGTTAAAAGATTAAAGATGATTATATTACATTTATTTATAAATATATTGTTTGCAACATGCTGACCATCTCCCACTGAGGTAGGGTGACCCAAAAAAGAAAAACACTTTAACCATCATTCACACACAATCACTATCTTTGCAAAGGCACACAGATATGACACTGCAGATGTCATTCCAAACAGCAAATATCCCAAACCCCTCCTTTAAAGTACAGGCATTGTATGCCACCTCCAGGACTCAAGTCCAGCTAACCAATTTCCCTGACTCCCTGCACAAAATATTACCCTGCTCACACTCCAACAGCTCGTCAAGTCCCAAAAAACCATTCATTTCCACTCACTCCTATCTGACATGCTCACACATGCCTGCTGCACGTCCAAGCTCCTTGCACACACAACCTTAAGAGTAGTGTTGCCTCCCAGGGTATGCACAGGTTAGACAGTCCTGCTTTATAGTAATATTAATTGTTAATTTTTAATTTTATTTTCATCTTTGTGACTGGTATTGCAGAGAATGCCAGCTGAATTAAGTTTTGAGCAGTTAACTGGAAAAACAACGGAAGAGGAGGTAAAAGAAGTGTTTAGGGACGCCTTCTTGGCTGTTGAGAATGCCTTCCTTGAGTCCATTGACCCGAAAATTGCAGAACGCACCCAATTGTTGGATAAAATACCTGATGGCATGTCCCAGTTTGAGGCTGCTCAAAATTTTCCTGAAACTGTTAACAGACTGCAGGTTAGTTCTAAAGTATTCTTAATATATCAGGTGAATCTTAACTCCTACTGTATATTTATATTTGTACAGCTTATACCTGTATTTCTTTTGTCAGTTCCTCTAATCTAGAACATTTATTTCCAGTCTCCTGGGGAAAGTGAGTTAGCATTTTTTCCTATATATATTTTTTTTCTTCAGTGAACCAACCATATCCCATGTCATTTTTTCTAATAAATATGCATGTAAATTCCAAAAATTAAGAGGCAGGTTACCAATATTCTTGTACTACAATTAGTATCTCACAAGAAAAATAAAAAAATTGAGTTGTTAGCATGTTGCATCTTTATTGCATCAGCACATGTATGTACCTTCACAATTCACATCTTTACCCACTTTCATACATGCCATACTTTCTCTGTACTCACCTAATTGTACTTGCCTTGTTGTGGTTTATGAGGTCAAGTCTTGGTTCCTAGCCCTGCTTTCAGTTACTCACAACTGTGTCATTATTCATTAGCCCATCACACCTTCTCTTAAAAAGGTGTATGGTCAATGCTTCCACCACTTCATCATCTAGATCATTCCACTTCCTAACCATTCTAAGACTGAAGAAGTGCTCTCTGACATCCTTGAGACTCATTTACATCTTTTTATTTTATCTCCAATCTATTCCCTCTTGTCTGCTGTCCCTTCCTTTCAGACTTTCTCTTTGCTCACCCTATTGCATCTTCTGAGTATCTTGTATGAAACACTTCACTGCCTTCATTCCATGAAGTCTCAATTTCACTCCTTACCAAATGAAGGGGTGCCTCAGGTGATCTCTTAACTTACATAGACTACCTCTGAATTCATTACTTCATTCATCTTATAAATGAAAGGTTTTAAACAATGCTTTAGTTTCCATTATGGTATTTTATTTTTTCAGTTTTTTTTATAACCTTAAAATTAGAGGTGATAAATTTTTATACATTAAATTAGTATTATTCAACAAAGAATATTTAGTCTGTAAATGTATTAAAATGAAAGTAAAAATATAGTACAACACTGAAAATTGAGCAAATTGACATGAGAATTTTAAAACATGTTACTTATAATTAGCCTTGGCCTGGAGGATATTACAAATATTTTATTTATCTTTATAATTCATGAATTAATATTTTTTTACCTGTTATAACAAATCATACAACTGTCACCATAAATCTGGCTGAAAGACTTGAAATAAAAACAGATCTATGTGGATTGTGAAAACATGTAATTTTATTAACCCTTTGACTGTTTTGGTCGTATATATACGTCTCACGAGCCAGTGTTTCGGATGTATATGTACTCAATAATTCTAGCGGCTTCAAATCAAGCAGGAGAAAGTTATTAGGCCCACATGTGAGAGAATGGGTCTGTGTGGTCAGTGTGCACCACATAAAAAATTCCTGCAGCACACAGTGCATAATGCGAAAAAAATATCTGATCGTTTTATATGGATTAAAACGCCGACTTTGAGGTGTATTTTTGTATAGTATTTATCGTTGTATTCTCATTTTCATGGTCTCACGTGATAAAATGGAAAGCATATTACAGAAATAGAGATGATTTTGATTAGTTTCATGACAAAAACGACCTTGAAATTGAGCTCAAAGTAGTGGAAATGTTCGATTTTTACCGATGTTCAGGAGTAAGCAAATCACACCACACGTTCAATACATGTCAACTGGGGAGTCTAATATTCTTTCATTAGTGCACTGATATTATTTATACCATTTTTACAATAATGCAGCAGTCTGCATAACAGTAAATTTTGTATTTTTTGTATAAAAAAATCAAAATAGAAAGCAATAGTAATATAAGAGGGGCCTAGAGACATGACCAATGAACAGAGGATATGTTATTTTAGTGCCAAGAATGTCTACATTGTTTATTCTGGACCCTATTTTGAAATTGGCATCTTTTTTAATTTGCGTGAAATTGGCCAAATTGCCAGTTTCTGACCACTTTATTGGGTAGTTCAAATCGGTAAATGGGCGGTTTCTTGTACTCAACTGATAGAGAAAACGGAGTTCTAAAGAAATAGCTATGAGTTTGGTCAATTGGAACAATGGAATTGGCCAAAAACAGGGCTCAAAGTCGGCAAAATCTCCAATGTGTATATGTCGCCGAGACCGCTAACTTTGCAGGAGCGTAATTCCGTGAGTTTTTGACCAAATTTCGTGCTTTTGGTGTCGTTACCATTGAGAAAAGATTCTCTATCATTTCATAAAAAAAAAATGTTTTTTCCAAAAATTTTGTGACAGAATGACAGTTTCAGAAAGGGGCTTGCGACAGTCAAAGGGTTAAATTTTATAACCTGCATGAACTGTTGTGTATCTTTATACGTATATGCTTCTAAACTGTTGTGTTCTGAGCACCTGTGCAAAAACAGTGATTATGTGTGAGTGAGGTGAAAGTGTTGAATGATGAAAGTATTTTCTTTTTGGAGATTTTCTTTCTTTTTGGGTCACCCTGCCTCAGTGGGAGACAGCCGACTTGTTGAAAAAAAAAAAATGAACTGTATCACCATGGACTACAAAAAGCACTTCACCCATTCCATGAAATATGTATTTATTTATGTACTATTACATATAAACATCCCCAAGATGCCCAGCATCAGCAATTCCTTTCTTTAATCATTTGTAAATGCTGCTGTTCAAGAATTTTTTTTAATCCTAATTGTTAGTAAAAAAGTTATTGCATTATAAATTTACTGATGGATCTAAACAAAAGTCCGCTGGCAGGACTGCATCTGCTCTTGTTCCCACCTCCCTAGATAAGAATTATAACAACCACGTTAAGTTATGCTTAGGAACGAATTATTTGCTATCTTAATGACAGTAAAATCATCTTAGGAGAATGGGCTTGATTCCTTAATCATTAGATTCTGTGTCACCACTGAGTGCTCTTAGACTCACAATACTATGACAATATGCACATTGGCAAAGTCAGGTATAAATTTAAAAAAAAATGGAGAATGGATTTAAAGTACGATTCCTATGTATTACATCTCTTATTGCATTACTCATATGTGATGAACCTGATAAAATAGCCATAAAAAGTACTTTGAAGGAAAAGGTTGCTGGATCAGCCGGGCTGTGGTTTGTACGTTGGACTACATGTGGCCAGTAGTAACAGCCTGATTGATCAGGCCCTGATCCACCAGGAGGCTTGGTCGTGGACCAGGCAGTGGGGGCGTTGATCCCCGGAATACCGTCCAGGTAGACCCTTGGTATATTTATGTAAAGCATAAGAAATAATAGAAAGAAATGATGAATCTGAATATCATAGGAATGCAGTTAGAAGTCTGAGTAGATCTATAATTCACTATGATAATATGAATGTAGATAGACATATTTATGGAGCAACTTGCAATATAAACAGACTGATGTAGTAGCCAGGCTTTGGCTTGGTTGCAAGTACTAGCAGTTTAGCTATACATATGAAGCGTAATTAAACTAAATACAAAGTATGTAGTCAGTCTTATAGTCATTCTTGAATATCATACACATGATTGTCCACTTATTGAGTAATATATAGTATAATAACCTATATGATATGTCAAGGTATTTTCTTAGCAAAAATAAGATAAATTTTGGGCAAGTATCCTAAATTTGCTTGAAATAGGCGATTTTTTTTTTTTTTCAACAAGTCGGCCATCTCCCACCGAGGCAGGGTGACCCAAAAAGAAAGAAAATCCCCAAAAAGAAAATACTTTCATCATCATTCAACACTTTCACCTCATTCACACATAATCACTGTCTTTGCAGAGGTGCTCAGATATGACAGTTTAGAAGTCCCTCCAAACTGTCAATATCCCAAACCCCTCCTTTAAAGTGCAGGCATTGTACTTCCCATTTCCAGGACTCAAGTCTAGCTAACCGGTTTCCCTAAATCCCTTCACTAGATATTACCCTACTCACACTCCAACAGGTGAAATAAATTGTTAATGTATACCCAGATGTTCTCCTGTTGTTTCTTTACGGCCTAGGTTATAGAACTTTTGTATGTTCATGCAATATTGTGATAACTTCAACAGAATTGACATGGGTGTAGGATAAACTAGCAGCGTCGGTGGCAAAATCGGAAACCACCTTTGTTATGATTGTCTAATTTTGTTTTTCTGAGCATAATTAAATATTTTTTCATGAATCCAGATACTTGATCAGGAGATCAGAGGAGGAACAACAGCAGTTGTTGCTCTCATACATGGAGGAATGCTCTATGTTGGCAATGTTGGTGATTCTAGAGCTCTTCTCTGTAAGAAAGACAGGTAATTGGCACCTCTTCTCTGTTGTGTTTCAGCTTAAATGAAAAATGTCATAAACAACTTTGCTATTTTTTTATATACAATATATCTGAATATTCAGTAATGTGAAATCACACAGTGAGCTTTTGTCAAAAAGCCATTGAAAAGTGCTACCAAAATTTCATATGTTAAAATATCATTATATTACATATTGTAAAATGGGAAAGAATCATCCTAGTATCTAGGTAGGGGGCAAAAATCTGTGTGCTACATGTCAGATTGGTGACATAAGACATTTAATTGCCACTACACATGCAATTTAATGGAGACACTGATTTCAGCAACAGCTGACAGCTCAGAGCACTAACATAAATCTATCATTGTAAATACACTTATAAACGTAAAGGTGGCATGGAATGATATGCTCAAGTCAACTGTAAATGCAGGCCAAAGTCATTTATGGCCTATGGTGAATAATTTCTCTGTTTTTTCATTAGTGAGTAGTCAGGTCCCAGGAAATTGGGGCTCAGGCAAGGACTGGGCATTTTCTTGTCTAATCTATTTTTTCCCCTCATGGCTGCTACCCTAATAACAATTGTTATTTTCTTTTCTTTTATTCTTCCTTGAATTTTTAAGCTGTGCACTTCTGAGAAATGATACATGCTGAAGATAGTGATGATTCACTATTTTAATAACATCAGAAGTAAATACTGTACTGTATACAATATCAGGAGGAGGAAGCCATGGCTTGTTTAGATACTCACGGCCAAAGAGCATAGCAGTTGTCTGTAGGATCGACCATCTGGTTACTTGTCTTAACCGATTGATAATCTTTATTTTTTCTGTTGTATTGAAATATGAAATAATTAAATATTTTTTCATTAATATATGCAGTTGTATATGGTAAACACAGATTTCCTTTTAGATTGGGTGTATTGAAAGTGAAACAACTGACTGCTGACCACACGACCAGCAGCCATGATGAAGTACAACGTTTAGCTTCCCTTAATCTATCGGCCTCTAAGATCCAAGGTAATGATGGCTCATTATTCATTTTAATATTACAATATGTATACCCCTCTACCGTCCTGCCAAGTGAGTGTAAAACGAAAGCCTGTAATTGTTTTACATGATGGATTGCTTGTGTCCTTTTTTCTGTCTCATGAACATGCAAGATTTCAGGTACGTCTTGCTACTTCTACTTACACTTAGGTCACACTACACATACATGTACAAGCACATATATACACACCCCTCTGGGTTTTCTTCTATTTTCTTTCTAGTTCTTATTCTTGTTTATTTCCTCTTATCTCCATGGGGAAGTGGAACAGAATTCTTCCTCCGTAAGCCATGCGTGTTGTAAGAGGCGACTAAAATGCCGGGAGCAAGGGGCTAGTAACCTCTTCTCTTGTATATATTACTAAATGTAAAAGGAGAAACTTTCGTTTTTCCTTTTGGGCCACCCCGCCTCAGTGGGATACGGCCGGTGTGTTGAAAGAAAGAAAGATGTATACCCCAACCACGCCTTCCTTTCCCTACAGATTTATACGCTCTCCATGTCATTCTACTTTGATCCATTCTCTCTAAATGACCAAACCACCTCAACAACCCCTCTTCAGCCCTCTGACTAATACTTTTATTAACTCCATACCTCCTAATTTCCACACTCCGAATTTTCTGCATAATATTTAGTTCATACCAGTTTATACCAGACTTTGTGTGCTTAATGCTTGCATGTATTTTTTTTTGTTTAATCTTGTACAGGAGCCAAATTTGGTAACCATGAGTTGACAAGATGTATTGGCAACTATTTCATGAAGGGAGGTTATAAGGAATTTGACATCCTCAGCTCAGCCACAGCTGAGCCTGTAATAGCGGAGCCTCACATTACATCTATGCCCATCGATGAGTCGTGCAGGTGAGTTGGCTCTTAAATTGTTTTGTGTAATAGCAGTCCATCCAGGGAGGTATTACCGTCCTGCCATGTGAGTGTGAAAAGGAAACCTATAATTGTTTTACATGATGGTAGGGTTGCTGGTGTTTTTTTTCTATCTCATAAACATGTGGGATAACAGGTATATCTTGCTACTTTTACTTACACTTAGGTCACACTGCACATGCATGTACATGCATATATATACACACCCATCTGAGTTTTCTTCTATTTTCTCAATAGTTCTTGTTCGTTATTTCCTCTTATCTCCATGGAGAAGTGGAAAAGAGTTCTTCCTCTGTAAGCCATGCATGTCGTAAGAAGTGACTGAAATGTTGGTAGCAAGGGGCTGTATAAATTACTAATTTATACTCTTTGTATAAATGTATACTCCTGTATAAATTACTGATTTTAAAAAGAAAAACTTTTGTTTTTCTTTTTGGGTCACCCTGCCTTGGTGGGATAAGACTGGTTTGTTGGAAAAGAAAAAAAAAGAGGTGCAGTGTTGTTAAGGAATATAATAACAGGAATAATGAAATCGTTTAGTCATTTTTTGAGACTGAACCAGAAAAGGTTGACATTTCTTCCTGGCATTTCTTTAAGGGCTTATACAGGAGGGAACTGCTTTACAGGCTTTGCTTTATGGTGTTTTGCTAATGCAGCAGTTTTCAATTGTACCCATTCTTCATTTATTCAGACTTCCTACAATAAATACATTAACCAAGGATGAGGGTATCAAATGATTTAGATAAAGAAAAATTGATATATTGGGGAGGAGGAGTATGGAAGAAGTGAATATTTTCAGATATTTGGGAGTTGACGTGTCAGCAGATAGATTTATGAAGGATGAGGTTAATCATAGAATTGATGAGGGAAAAAAGGTGAGTGGTGCGTTGAGGTATATGTGGAGACAAAAAACGTTATCTGTGGAGGCAAAGAAGGGAATGTATGAAAGTATAGTAGCACCAACACTTATGTGGGTGTGAAGCTTGGGTTGTGAATGCAGCAGCGAGGAGGCGGTTGGAGGCTTGTTATTGTTTTCCCTATTTCTGTTACATAACACTTTTTTTTTTTTTTTTTTTTTTTTTCAACAAGTCGGTCGTCTCCCACCGAGGCAGGGTGACCCAAAAAAGAAAGAAAATCCCCAAAAAGAAAATACTTTCATCATCATTCAACACTTTCACCACACGCACACATTATCACTGCTTTTGCAGAGGTGCTCAGAATACAACAGTTTAGAAGCATATACTATAAACTTTTTTTCCAACATATCCCTCCCCACCGAGGGGGTACTACCGTCCCCAAAGAAATTGATCATATAAATTTCAACAGCACTTTATATGCTTTTAGCATGAGTGCCAGATAAACGTTGGCTTTGTCTGTCCAAAATATCTCAAGAGTACAGGTACGTCTGCTGACTGTAATGACTGTAATTGTTTTACATATACTGTAACGATGTCTGTTATAATATAATACAGTACGTCTCTATTACTATTGGTACACTTCTGATTTTATTTAAATAGTTTCTTTTTTCTTAATATTCTTTCCTTTTATATCCTATAAGGGAATGGAATAAGAATCTTTCCTCCGTAAGCCATGCGTGTTGTAAAAGTCAACTAAAATGCCGGGAACAATGGGCTAGTAACCCCTTTTCCTGTAAAGATTACTAAAAAGAATAAGAAGAAGAAAATATAACACTTACTTGTATTAAATCCCATCATCCATCTGTCACTTGATTTCCTGATGTTATGTAAGTGTTCTATTTGGGATTTACAGTTATTGTTTTTTTCTTTACTAAAAATCCTCTGTAAAATAAGATTTGTTAGATCACATGTACTGCAGGAAATGATTTAACATTTAATTTCTTCCAGCTTCCTGCTTCTCATGAGTGATGGCCTCTACAAATCTTACCAGGATTCCACTGGTTCTGAGCAGATCAATAAAGAGATAGCCCAGATGGTTGTTGAACAGGTCAGTCACTCTTAATACAATATATCACAAATTATATGTATTTTCTATGTCTAATACTATCCTTACCTTATCTGTCTATACAGTAGTAGTGACATCTAGTCTTTATTTCCCATGTACTGCTCTTACTGCAATCCCATCCCTGTGCATTTTTGACATGCAGTTTCTCTCCTTCCTGCACCTTCTTTCCATATTCTTTGCTCACACATTCTTGCCTATAGTCTTCCTGCATGCACACTCTTCCCTCCCCCATTCTGTCTTCTCTATGCACTCCAGCACTATTTTCCCCACACACTTTTTTTCCCCTAATTCCCATCCTCTCCTACCTCAGTGCATAAGAGGTTGAAATAGGGGAAAAAGACCTACCTTTGCAATTGTTAATTTGCATAACAAAAATTTAGTGCACCTGTAGGTCTGACTATCATAATCTGGTTAAAGTACATCACCTTTAGATCTGAAAAAGTCTGGTCATAGGCGAGAGATTTAGGCTATAACACCTGCATATTATGTAGCAAAACAGTTAAAAATAAAAGTTCTAAATTTCTTGTTTGAATAGTTTTGAATTTAAAATTTGAACTGGTATTGATTTGGTTAAAATATGTTTTTATATTTCTCCAGTTTGTGGAACAGCCAACACTCACCAGTATAGCACAGACGGTTGTTGACAAAGTGGTTCGCCTTCACCACGATAACTATCTTACCAAACAAAGAAATGTCACTTCCAGAGATGATATTAGCCTCATAATCCGCAATTTTAACTTTCCTCTGCGCTGTGCACTCACCCCCTCCTCAGCTCTTCCAGGTGGCAGCTCTCCACGTCCTCCACTTAGACATCTGCCACGCCCCAGACCACAAGTAAGGAAATACTTCAGCCACAGTTTGTATACCGTACATAATGTGACAGTTAAAATTTTGCAGCTTTAAGGATAATTGTCAATTATATAGCAATTAGTATTACTAATTATCTATGGGTCAGTCATGTATGAATGATCCTTAAAATAAGCCAGTATTATTTTGCATCATTGTGGTTTCAGACTTACATACCCAGCATGCATATACGGCTTGACTGCTTTGAGTGTGTTCATGAATATTATTTTACTGCTTTTTCCATTTATTGATATTGAATAAAAAATCTAAACTTTGTAATTATTTTGTGAAGTAGGTAATGATGTATTGTGTTACCTGATACACACTCAGCAGTTCCATCTGCTTAGACATTTGGGTTATCCTAGGTTCTCTACACATATGCTGCTATGTATGATAATTCTATGTAACTATATTTGTGCATACCTGAATAAACTTACTTACTTACCAGCAACAACAAATACACCACTTATGTTTAGCATAAATTGGATATAAGTCTAGAGTTATGGTGGGACACAGAGCTGAAGAGTAAATTTGAATTTACAAAGTTGTCAGTGTGAATACTACAATTGTTCACATGACATTGCATTTCTACAAATCAAGCTGAAATTCATTAAAATTACAGTATTTTTCTTTTTTTGTGCATGGCAGGATTCATTATTTACCAACATTGTGTAACAGTATAAGTAAAACTGTTCACAGCTGTGCATCATGTAATGAAATAAATTATTTTATGTTTTGCAGGAGTATTCATCATCATCATCAGGCAGTGATGATTTGACATTGTGTGAAGACACAGACATCTTATCTGGCCTCCCAGACTCGTGTTTGCTTCCAGGTTCTCGTGGCCAAAGACTAGACTTGCTAGAGGGTATCAGCAACTCTGTTGATGACCGTGGCCCCATCCATCACACAGACACTAACACAACATCAACAGAGTCATCTGAGCTTCAGAATCCTAGTCTTACTCAGTTCTCTCTTGATGAGGATGGCCGAATTCATCCTTATGTGAACTTCGATCAGTATTTTCAAGCAATTGAGGAGGCCCGAGCAGCTGGGCTTATTACAGAATCTCAGTTACATCTCTATAAATGACATGAAAGAAATGGTCTGTTAGGACATGAACTATTTTCTTACATAACCTGTTGTAAATTATGTTATTATTTTATTCAGCTTTCTTGATATCCATATTAGTTAATTTTAGCATGTAAAGAAGGGTGTAACCCAACTCTAGTCAGTGATTAAGATGTTTTAGCATGTAGCTTTAATAGAAGAATAGTTTTTATAATTTAAACCCCGTTGACTATAAGTATACTACACATTTTAACTAAGTTTTTCTGTGTGTTAGGTAATGTCTGTAATTTTAATGTTTTGATTTTCATTTATTGAATTTTTAATAGGTATAATTAACATTTTAATGTAAATTTCACTATTTTTATTTATAAAGCCATTTGCCACTATTCGGCAGGGTAGCTTCATGCAGCCTGTTTTTTTAAGATACCCAATCCTATATGAGCAGCACTGCAGTCTTTGAAGATACCCAGTATTGATTTATGTTTGAACCTTAATTTAAATTTCAACACTTACAATTATCTTGTGTCAATGTCATCATTGTTACCATCAATCATCATTTATATTTCTTATGTCAGTGGCATCAAAGCAACAGTATATAAGAAAATCAAGTTATTATTCCAAGTACACAATATCGTTGATTCATTGAATGGATCAAAATATTTTAGCCTTAATTAAAACTTACTATACAACAGGAACAATGTCCTGATTCATGAGAGAAGTTGGCCAGACAAGCCAGCATTAAAATGATGTCTCTTATAACATCTTGGATGTCTTTCACAACATCAATAACTCATAGAAGGTCACATTGGCCACATCATACACTGCACTGAAAAATGTGACATGAATGTTCTCACAACTTCACTGATTCCAACAAAACATTTTAACATATGAAAAGAAAGAAATATTGTGCAGCTTTTGAAACAAATTGTGTTTGAAAATACTGGGTAGTCTGATATGGAGGTACATTTATTGAGGTATGGTAGAAACTTTTATGAGAAGTTGATGCGCTTATTCAAAATCAAACTGTATAGCTATGTAAACATTATGCTGAAACTATATCTGCCACTTGTAAAGTCAGTGTACTGAAGGTGTTGGAGACAAACTGAAGGAAGAGCCATTGTAGTAATTACCAAATGTGATTCAAACGGACCGCACAGCTTTAGTATTCACTGAAGTTTCAGCATGGACTTAAGAGCTACAGGAAAAAGTATGAAAAAAATTGCTTTACATTGAACAGAAGTTCTCCAGCTTTTGTCATATGAAGAGGTGGTTGATTCCTCATATCTCTCTCCCACCAACCCATCCACTCAGCATCAACTTTCACTGCTTAGATACTTCATGATGAATTAGTCACAAGTGCAAGATACCCAGATGTTGCACATGTATCAAATTCATTATCATCTTGGTATTGTATACCATGTTGTAAGACAGGTCATGCATGATTCTGACTTTTTGGTTTAGGGGTGACAATGCATTTTTACATTATTGTCTTTAAATATATAAAGAGTGAATCCTTGCAAGGGAGTTTCCTTGATGCCAGTGAGGTCCTCTTGATACAAGGAATTGGATTTATCATCCCCTTCCTGGGATCAAACCTGATCACCTGCTGGAAATTACTGTGATTTATAGTTATTTAATGGGATAATAGCCCTCAGTCATTGTTATCATACCTAATATTGGAGCTTTAAGGTACAAAATTGCGTTGTTTGTTGAAGTTTCCCTGTACTGTACATTAATGGCAATAATGCTTTCCTGTTATGTCAGGCAGTGTGTGGCCCTTTTGAGTTTACAGCTTCCTCTTGAATAGAATAATTTATGTTAAAACATGTTCTCAGAGTTTCTGTGTAATAGGATTGTGTTTTTAGTTGGCTCACCTTAAACAGTTTAGAAGTAATTATTATTAAGTTTTATCATTTTTTTGAGTTGCAAGTGCACTGGTCATTAGAGTTGGGTTACTACAAAATGAGGAAATATTTTGAAGTTATAGGAATAATGAAACATATTTTGGAATGGCATTGGTAGCACTGTACTCACTTATATGTGCAGCACTTGTGATGGTTGTAAGACCTTCAGATAGTTGATAATTATAGAGATACAGCCTGCTGCCAGTATCAGACAAAATTGTAGGCTGCAAATGCAGGTTCATTTGCTGCTGATTAGCTCAAAGTATGACCGAGTTGTTATTTGTACCTGTTAATTTGCAGAACACATGATAATGTAAAAATAGTTTTTATTGCAATGAAATTTTCTATGTCCATGTTATTATCGTATCTAAAATCTAGTCATTCTCTAAGTTTTGTTTTAATGCTGCCTTTATTTAGTATTGGTATTGCATATTTTACTTCACATGTTAATGTTGGTTTATACACTGTACATCATTAGTCATTGATTTTTAACTTTTATAGATGAAAAAACGTTTCATGTGCTTCCTGAAACAGCTTTGCCATTCTAAATGCCCATAACTAGTTTTATGAGTATCTGGAGTGACCCTTCAGAGTTTTCAAACATCATTCACTGCATATATCTCATCTTGTACATACACACTGTCCCACCTGAACTCTGCATCATCCAAATTGTACAGTCTTCATGTGAGCTACTGGGAGTACTACGGGGTGGTATCAACCTCTAAAATTTGTGCCAAAGGCATTAAAACTAGTCTATGAATTGAATAATGCAAAATATACAAAAATATTTTAAAAATATAATTTTATTTACAGTACACAAACAGTTTTGAGCCGTTTTTTTAAAGTCTAGATGTTGACATTACCCCTAATAACCGCTGCACTTTAAATGAATTCGTCTGAAATAAATTTCAGATTTACACACTGTGCTTATGTTTTTTAGGCTGTGTTGCTGATAAAAAAAAATTATATGTATGTAAGAGTATATTTTTATTGTACCCTGTACAACCAGTCATATATCCACTAATATTTTATATTGGGGTAACAAAAGTCTAGAGGCTTACGTGGATATGAAGTACAGTATTATTACACAAGTGAATTATTCTTTACAAAGATATATAGATGTGTACAGATGTACACTTCTGCTAGGCAGAAGTAACATCTGGCAATTCAGACATAGTAAACATAGGAGTAAAGACTATTTTCATGACTAAATTAACGCAGCTTGTAACGATGATAGTGATTGGTTGACAAAATTAGTTGCTGGTACTTTCTGCACATTTATTTAAAAGTAGACTTATGAATGCAGATATGAATTAATTACTGTTCATATATTCAATATTATAAAACCATAAAAATTATTTAAAAGGTGACTGAATATATTGAAAGGAAAGTGTTATGATGACAGGTCCATAACCGCCGTACATCAGTCATATCTACTCGCGTGAAGCATCATTTTGAGGGACGAGTTGGGTGAATGTGTGAGGCATGGTCCGTGTAATATCTTATAGAATACAGTGGAACCTTGGTATGCAGCCTTAATTCATTCCAGAAGGCTGTTCGAGTGCCTCTCTGAGTATCAAACAAGCTCTTCCCAACCAATTTTCTGTTTGGTTGGCTGTTATCACTAATTGTCGTAGGCCCCATGGTGACTTATTTATACAAATAATACAAAAAAAAAAATGTGAAGAAACACAAAATAGTTTACAGTGAAGTTTGGCCGAGTGCTGAGCCTTGTTCGAGTAGGGAGCTGGCCGTATACCGAGGTTCCATTGTATTGGTAATTTATATAACTATTGTTTTAACACATTGGCTGTCTCCCACTGAGGCAGGGGAACCCAGAAAAAAGAAACACTTTCACAATCAATTGCAGTATCACTCTTTCCAGAAGAGCACAGATACGTTTGACAGTTCAGATGTCCTTCCAAACAGCAAATATCCCAAACCCCTCCTTTAGAGTGCAGGCACTGTACTTCCCACCTCCAGGACTCAAGTCTGGCTAACCAGTTTCCCTGAATTCCTTCACAAAATGTTACCTTGCTCATACTCCAACAGCTCATCAAGTTCCAAAACCTATTTGCTTCTATTCACTTCTAATGTGCTCACATCTGCTGCTGTGATAAAAGAGATAAATGTGTATTTATAGCCTATCTGCTGCTCTCTGCGGTGGTTCATGTAATCAGTGACAAAGATAATGAATGAATGATTTGTAGCTTGATCACTCCATCACAGCCTTGACCACTGACAGTGTCATGATGGTACTAAAGACTCTTCCAAGTTCCAAACTTATCTAACTAACACCAAGCCTTCCCTCAACATATATAAGGTTGGCCAGAATTATTATTACTAATTATTATTATTATTATTATTATTACTGGTGAGGGGCTTTTGATCTAGGAAACTGGATCTGAGCTCGAGTCCTGAATTGAGCCTGAATGCTGTCCATCCCCCCCCCCAGTCACAGTATAATCCCTACATGTTTAGCACTCCCCCATAATGATGATATTATTATTGTAGGGAAAACACTAAACCTGTATATTCATTCAGCTCATGGGGGTGAGAAGTAATCAGGTTTGATCCAAGGGAAGGTGGAACTCCAATTCCTTAGCTAAGGTGCCCTTGAGGTAGGTTAATCAAATAGTTTCATTATTAATGATAATGAGTAATTGTTTTGTTCCAGGAAACTTGTAATCTTCACGCTGGGACTTCAAATATAGCACAGTTATATAATTACCCTTATACAACTTCTTGAATGATGGTGAAAGTGTTTCTTTTTTTGGGTCACCCTGCTTTCGTGGTAGATGGCCAGCGTGTTAAAAAAAAAAATACAGCTTTTATAAAGCTCTTCTGTATAGGCTGAGTGAAAATGAGACTGAAAAGGGAATCCAAAAGTAAATAGGGCATACCATGAAGGCCTTTCCACATGCTGTTCATTTTTGGGATATTCTTTTCTAAGTCTCATTTGCAAAAAAAATTGTAATATATGTATATACAGACACTTTTTGTAAGAGGAATGCAACGACAACCATAGAACCCTGTTAAGGAGGAGGGAGGAAGAAGATAGGGAATGATGGAAAAGGGTGAAGATCCTGAAGGAGTGGGGAAGATGGTTGTAGAGAATAGTGGGAGTCACACTGTGGGTGGAGGATGGTGGGACTGTCTGAGGTTCGCCAGTACTGTCCCAGCCCAGGTCTTCTCTATTTAGTGACCTGGCCTTTGCTCCCCATCAAGGAAGTGTCTTGATTAACATCTTCCATGGGAATAATATTATAATATCTTTATTTCTTCAAGTACATATACAAGGTATAGAGGCCTAGCTGACATCAATGACATACTACATATAGAAAGCCCCTTGTTATGTAAAGCATTTCAGCCAAATAAGGTCAGTTTTGCCCCAGGATGTGATCCACACCAGTCGACTGATGCCCAATTGCCTATTTTACTGATGGGTGAACAGGGACAGCAGGTGTCTAACAGAAAAACATTCTAATGTTTTCCAGCTGTACTGGGGGATCAATCCTCAGACCTCAGTGTGTGAGCTGAGTGTGCTATTGATTGAGCTATGGGACACCTGTACTTCATCTTCCTAGACCAATTGTCCCCAAGCCTAACCCCATTACCCTTCCTCACGGGACTCGTAGGGAGAAGCTAGGCACCTTGACTTTCCACTAACCCTGCCCCACAGGGCTCGAAGGGTGTAGTAGCAGATGATGTCAGGAAGTACAAAGACAGCAAGCACTACAGGATCCTTGAGAAACCACACCCCGGCTTTGTGGGTAGAGGATGGGAGTCACACTGGGGGGAAGATAGTGAGAGTCACACTGTGGATGGAGGATAGTAGGAGTCACACTGTGGGTGGAGGATAGTGGGAGTCACACTGGGTGGAGGATAGTGGGAGTCATGCTGTGGATGGAGGATAGTGGGAGTCACACTGGGTGGAAGATAGCAGGAATTACACTGGGTGGAGGATAGTGGGAGTCACACTGTGGGTGTAGAATAGTGGGAGTCACACTGGGTGGAAGACTGGGAGTCACTGTGGGTGGAGGATAGTGGGAGTCACACTGGGTGGAAGACAGTGGGAGTCACTGTGGATGGAGGATAGTGGGAGTCACACTGTGGGTGGAGGATAGTGGGAGTCACACTGGGTGGAGGATAGTGGGAGTCACACTGTGGGTGGAGGATAGTGGGAGTCACACTGTGGGTGGAGGATAGTGGGAGTCACACTGTGGGTGGAGGATAGTGGGAGTCACACTGTGGGTGGAGGATAGTGGGAGTCACACTGTGGGTGGAGGATAGTGGGAGTCACACTGTGGGTGGAGGATAGTGGGAGTCACACTGTGGGTGGAGGATAGTGGGAGTCACACTGGGTGGAGGATAGTGGGAGTCACACTGTGGGTGGAGGATAGTGGGAGTCACACTGTGGGTGGAGGATAGTGGGAGTCACACTGTGGGTGGAGGATAGTGGGAGTCACACTGGGTGGAGGATAGTGGGAGTCACACTGTGGGTGGAGGATAGTGGGAGTCACACTGTGGGTGGAGGATAGTGGGAGTCACACTGTGGGTGGAGGATAGTGGGAGTCACACTGTGGGTGGAGGATAGTGGGAGTCACACTGTGGGTGGAGGGTAGTGGGAGTCACACTGTGGGTGGAGGATAGTGGGAGTTTGAAAACTTCATACGTCTGGTACGTCTGTTGATGTTGACATATCACACCCTGGAAACGTGTCGTACCTCTCACAATGGTCACATGTTTTTATTAATATTTTTATTATTATTACACAATCCAGCATATGTCAGTATTTAAACAGACTCATATACACAAGTTTGTTTCCCTCGTGACGTACAGTATGTCACCCTGAAGATAATATCACAGGAGAAGTTTGTAGTACAATACGAAGTGTCAGCGTCAGAAGCTGATTACAAATTACATTATATTACAACTGATTTTATCATCACTGGGAAGTTATGGAGGACCGGGAATGTCTTCTTGCTCGTGATGCAGGTGAGATGGTACAATATAATGTGTCATCTGTAATTAACCTTACTATCGTTATTATCTGGAGGATCCCAGTGGGAATGTTACTTGATTTTTTTGGGGAGGTTATCCTGGGTGATCCTTTCCAGGAATGTTCCTTGATGCTGGTGAAGGGCTCTTGATCAAGGGAATTGGATCTGTGCTCCAGTTCCCTGAATTAAATATAAATACCTTCCACATCCGCCCACAGGCGATGTATAATCCTACGGGTTTAGCGCTTCCCCCTTGATTATAATAATATCCTGGATGATTTACATTAGGTATGATAATTGTACTTATGTGTACCTGTACCTAAATAAACTTACTTATTATCAAGTTTGAAAACCCTTGATGGAAATAGTCATATTCCTCAAATCTTAGTTATTATAGGTTTAAACTATATATTTTAGCAGTGTTGCACTATATCTTAATCATCTGTGTACCAGCAGAACCATTGTACAGATTTATACCCAGTATAACATTTGTATATATAACTAAACTCTTTTTTTTTTTAATCTTAACAAAGAACATTTTATACAATTTATTTTCTAATATTTCTGTGATTCGTGTGTGTTTCAAGGTATTTACGTTTGAATATAATCTGCCTAGCATTTTAGTTTGTCCTTATGTGCCTTATCAAATCCTTGGAGTGTCATATACATGATTATGACTTACAATGTTATCTTCCTTCTGCTGTTTGACCTTAACAGGTTTAGTACTTGGTTATGATTATAATTATTATAATTATCTTTCTTTTAAGATACTTTGAGTCTGTGTCTACTCATAGATCAGGAACCTCAGCTCAGAGACTAGTTGAGTTGTAAACCTTTAGACCTTTTGAATTGCTGAGTAAAATAAGATTTGTTTAGATTTTTAATCCAGAGGGTCAATCTTATTAATCTTAAGTTAGTTATAGCCTGCCAGAAATGCTTCGCATATAAGATAAGATAAGATTTCGTTCGGATTTTTAACCCCGGAGGGTTAGCCACCCAGGATAACCCAAGAAAGTCAGTGCGTCATCAGGACTGTCTAACATATTTCCATGGGGGTCCTTAATCTTGTCCCCCAGGATGCGACCCACACCAGTCGACTAACACCCAGGTACCTATTTGCTACTAGGTGAACAGGACAACAGGTGTAAGGAAACGTGTCGAAATATTTCCACCCGCCGGGAATCGAACCCGGGCCCTCCGTGTGTGAAGCGGGAGCTTTAGCCACTAGACCACCGGGCCACGTACACCCATCTATTATATTCCTTTGAACAAACATGTATCATGTTGAAATGAAATATTATTATTATTATTATTATTATTATTAATATTATTATTATTATTAAAGTCAGTGCGTCATCTCATCAAGAACTGTCTGTCTTATTTCCACTGTCCCCCAGGATCCGACCCATACCAGTCTGCTAACACCCAGGTACCTACTTAGTGCTAGTTGAACAGGGACAGCAGGTGTAAGGAAACATGCCCAATACTTCCACCCTTGTTGGAAATTGAACCACGGGCACTCAGTGTGTGAAGCGAGAGTGTTGGCAATAAAATCATAGGAGGTCTCTCCAAAATATAATTGAAACTAGTCATGTATAAAGCCCTAAAGAATTCTATAATGAAATTCTTGAGTCTCTTTTTGAGTTGCATTAACCGTGCTTATGCTGGGATGTTATGAGCTTTGGGCACATTTATTATTTAGTGTGAGGTTAAAATAAGTTCCAGCCCATTGTCCAAGTTTAGAACTGTTCTTGAGAAAATGCATTCTCAAAGTCGAGCCTTAATTCCTTCCAGTCTCCCAGGCACTGTATGACCTTTATGGGTTTAGTGCTACCCTGTGAATGTAATAAAAATCATTATAGAAATGGAACAACACATCTTAAGCTGCCACATGTAAGACACCCAGTTTTTTAATTATTGTTGGGTACTTCACAGAGATATAGGCAAATATATACTAAATTAAACTAATCAACATTCCTGGTTGATTTTCAGCACATAAAAATGCACAAAGAGCAGTTTGTGTGAAACTTTCTGCTCTGATTGGAGAAATGTTGACTGCTCTCATCCAGATATCTCCTTGATTGATATTTGTTATTTCTCACTTCCTAGGCTGTATCACATCACTTTTCCTCTCCAGTTTGCCTGGCCTTACACTTGATAAGGTCTAATTTTAGTAGCCATTTGTTTGTCCACTCTTGCAGCTTGTCCAAGTCTGTCTGAAGCCCATCTCTTCTCCCATTCTTTTTCTTTTCACTGGCTGTACATCTTCAGTAAATAGCAGTACTCGCCTAGTTGAGGTTGCAGGGGTCGAGTCTTAAGCGCCTGGCCCCCGCCTCTTCACTGGTCGTTACTAGGTCTCTCTCCCTGAACCTTGAGCTTTATCATACCTCTGTATGATGTATGGATCCTGCCTCCACTACATCACTTCCCAAACTATTCCATTTCCTGACTACTCTGTGGCTGAAGAAATACTTCCTAACATCCCTGTGATTCATCTGTGTCTTCAACTTCCAACTGTGTCCCCTTGTTGCTGTGTCTCATCTCTGGAACATCCTGTCTTTGTCCACCTTGTCAATTCCTCTCAGTATTTTGTATGTCGTTATCATGTCCCCCCATCTCTCCTGTCCTCCAGTGTCGTCAGGTTGATTTCCCTTAACCTCTCCTCGTAGGACATACCTCTTAGCTTTAGGACTAGGAGGTATGTAGGATTCAGTTCCCATTGCTAGGTCCTTAATGTATGTTATTAAGCATAATAATGGTTCCAATACAGATTGCTTGGGAACTCTAATTATTATCCTTCCCCACTCTCAAACCTCCCACTGACCTAATGTCTTGTTTTCTTCATTTTTTTTTTTTTTGAGCTACTGCAGAGCTCTTCCTTGTACCCATTCCTTAGTATGGTCATGCTGTATGACTTGTGGGTTTAGTGCTTAGTTATGATTATAATAATAATTGGGTGTAGTCTTGTTAGATGCTTTCCTGTGGTCCAAGAATGTGCAGTCATCCCAATCTTATCTAAAGAAAGAACCATTAATTTAAAAAATGTCTTATTTTAATAGCCATTATAAAGTTCTAATTTTGTTGTATTGCAGTGGAAGTGATGGGAGAACGTTCCACCAAAAATGCAGACACAACTTTTCCCAAGGCAATTTACCTGTTGGCAGTTTTTGGTGCCATAGGTGGCTTTCTCTTTGGCTATGACACCGGTGTTGTGTCAGGTGCTATGATCCTTGTTAGGTAAGTGTGCTTATACTGCATTTATGCCCAAAATAATTGCAGTTGGAGCTTTAAGAAAATTCTTTGGAATTTTTTCCTATAAGAAAATATAGCATAGTAAGTTGAATATAGGAAAAGTAAGATGAAACTGAATATCTGTATAATAACCAAATACCTCTCTTAACCCTTTGACTGTTTCAGGCCCCTTTCTGAAACTGTCATTCTATGTCGCTAAATTTTTGAAAAAAAAAAAAAAATTATTTTTTCTATTGAAATGATAGAGAATCTTTTCCCGATGGTAATGACACCAAAAGTTCCAAATTTGGTCGAGAACTCATGGAATTACGCTCCCGCGAAGTTATCGGTTTCGGCGACATATGCGTATCGGCGATTTCGCCGACTTTGAGCCCTATTTTCAGCCAATTCCATTGTTCCAGTTGACCAAACTCATAGCCATTTCTTTAGAACTCCATTTTATCTATTAGCTGAGTACAAGAAACCTCCCATTTACCAATTTGGACTACCCAATATTGTGGTCAGAAATTGGCAATTTGGCCAATTTCACGCAAACTAAAAAGATGCCAATTTCAAAATAGGGTCCAGAATAAACAAGGTAGACATTCTTGGCACTAAAATAACATATCCTCTGTTCATTAGTCACATCTCTAGGCCCCTCTTATATTATTATTGCTTTCTATTTTGATTTTTTATTCATACAAAAAAATACAAAATTTACTGTTATGCAGACTACTGCATTATTGTAGAAATGGTATAAATAATATCAGTGCACTAGTGAAAGAATATTAGACTCCCCAGTTGACGTGTATTGGACATGTGGTGTGATTTGTTTACTCCTGAACATTGGTAAAAATCGAACATTTCCGCTACTTTGAGCTCAGTTTCAAGAACGTTTTCATCGTCAAAGTAATGAAAATCATCTCTATTTCTGTAATATGTTTTCCATTTTATCAACTAAGACCATGAAAACGCAAATACATCGATAAATACTATACGAAAATACACCTCAAAGTCGGCGTTTTAATCCAAAAAAACGATCAGTTTTTTTTTTCTCATTACGCACTGTGTGCTGCAGGATTTTTTTTTTATGTGGTGCACACTGACCATACAGGCCCATTCTCTCATAATTGGGCCTACCAGCTTTCTTCCGCTTGATTTGAAGCCGCTAGAATTATTGAGTATACACGTATATACGTCTGAAACACTGGCTCGTAAGACGTATATATACGACCAAAACAGTCAAAGGGTTAAATATACATAATCCTTATCTTTAGAACTTTCATATTCATGTACATAGTTCAAATATACAGTGGATCCCCGAATATTGGCCTTAATTCATTCCAAAAGGCAGTTCAGGTGCTGTAACCGGATGAATTTGTCATGAATTTGTTCCCATAAGGAAAAATGTAAATTAGATTAGTCTGTTTCAGACCTCCAAAAATACACTTACAAAAGCACTTACAAAAATACACTTATATAATTGTTCGAGTTGGGAGCTGTTTGAAATTCGGGTTACCACTGTACAGTGGACCCTCGCCTAAAGAACGCATCGCTTAACGTTAAATTTGCCTAACGATACATTTTAACACTAACATTTTGCCTCGGCTAACGCTAAAAAACTCGCCTGACGATATTTGTTCTCGGGTACCAATTAATATCGTTAGGTGAGGGTCCACTGTATTTGGTATTTGACTGGCCTCTGGAAATTGAGCATTGGTAAGGCCATCTGAAATTCACATGTTATTAAAAGTGATATTCCAATTTCAATTTAGATTTAAGACAACAGAGTAGAATTCAAATTTGCCAAGTAAGATAGAGATGCTTTGTGAAATTTGTAGTCAGTTCACAGCTGACTACTGCTGTTGTTACCTATGTAGAGTTACCTATGCTTAATGCATCCTATTTTAATGTTTCATTTATTTAATCTACTGTACTGTATCTACTGGGCATATGTAGTACAGTACTTTTACTGATTTACAAAGTAAACTATGGAATTGACGCTCTTCAGAAGTATGAGACAAATTATGCTGGGACAATTGATTCAGAAACAATGAACAAAGTCAGTTGTTTACAGAATTGTCCATTATTGTTATGATCACTGCAAAACAGCCTCATCTCTGTCCATTACAAACATTGGCCACTCATCCCAGTATATTTATACTGTACACACGTTTTTATATTTGTACAGTTAATCCAGTAAAGAACAAGTAGCGGAAATTATGAGAAAATAAATCTGCTTCGCTTGACACTCACTCAGGTCAATCAAAAGCAGGAATTGATAAAATGTCCATTGCTCCTTATAACAACTTGATCACATTTAAGATTACAGATGTGCCAGAAGTGAAAAGCATTACAGTAGTTTGGTTTTCTAGAATGCATTTGATAGGTCATTAATGTTAAAGAGTAATAGTAGCAGTCATAGGTTGCTGCTGTGTGTTAACCCAGTGTTTATAGCAGGGTATCTGATGAAACATATTTCATGGTCACATGTTGGTATTTGTCATTAACGTAGGACTTTATGAAACTGAGATGGAAAAAGTCATTTGCTCTGAGAGGAATAATTTTTTTTATTTTATTCAGTTCTAGGATTTGAAAGTGATTTTCATGTAATTCTGTCCCCTTTTGTTTCATTAAATTTATTTGAGTAACAGATAAATTTTAACTTGTATCTTTTGGCTGTTACTTTGGAGGTTACACCTAATTTGTACTCCTTTTCATTGTCATGTTACTGGTGAATGTATCCAATATGCTTTAAGAGTAGCATTGACAGAACAGTAATGATTACTTACTGAATGATGATAATCTATACTGGAATGACTAAAAATGTCGTTGTTAACAGGGAAGAGTTCAAGTTGAGCACAGTATGGCATGAAGTTATTGTTTCTGCTACTATTGCAGCAGCCTGGCTCTCAGCACTGATTGCTGGGCCTGCTACAGGTGAGACATCAGTCTTGGATGTACATACATTACAAGTTCAATACACAAATAACCCGCACATAAAGGAGAGAAGCTTACGACGACGTTTCGGTCCGACTTGGACCATTGACAAAGTCAATGTCAATGGTCCAAGTCAGACCGAAACGTCGTCGTAAGCTTCTCTCTTTTATGTGCGGGTTATTTGTGTATCGTTCCAGTCACGGTATTGTGCCTTTTTTGTTATTTATTACAAATTCAAGTCTAATTTTGGACACACATAATTGTAAATTGGTATGATAATTACCAAAACCTGTACTGTAGTTATTCTATTGTGGTATTTACCCTTTTTACATATGTACCAGTACACATGATGTTAAATATGTATATATTTTTTTAACACATCAACCGTCTCCCACTGAGGCAGGGTGGCCCCAAAAACAAAGAAACACTTTCATCATCATTCAACACTTTCACCATATTCACACATAATCACTGTCTTTGCAGAGGTGCCCAGATATGACAATTTAGATGTCACTCCACACAGCCAATATCCCAAATCCCTCCTTTAAAGTGCAAGCATTGTACTTCCCACCTCCAGGACTCATGTCCAGCTAACCAGTTTCCTTGAACCCCTTCACAAAATATTACTCTGTTCATACTCCAACAGCTCACCAAGTCCCATAAACCATTTGTCTCCACTTACTCTTATCTAACATGCTAATACATGCTTGCTGTATGTCTAGGCCCCTCCCTCCATTCTTTCCTAGGATGACCCTTATTCCTCCTCCCCTCCACTACACATTTATACACCCTCCAAGTCAACTTGTTTTGCTCTATTCTCTCTAAATAACCAAACCACTTCAACAACCCCTCCTCAACCCTCTGAATAATACTTTTAGTAACTCCACACCTCCTCCTAATTTCCACACTACATAATTATAATATTTATGCCATACACATAATATGTAAATAAATAAAAAGAAGTAGAGATGTGAATGTAGATTTGAAAGAATTTTGCATTTCTGTGCCTTCAAATTATATATGTACAGCAATTTCTCTCTATCATGAAGTGAAAAATTGTGTATGTACTTCATGCTCCAGTTTCTTCACAGATTTTAGTGTATGATTCAGCAAAGTTAAATCATTTAATTTTTATACACTAGTTGCAATACATTATTCATTTCTGATATATGAAGATTTTACCCATGTTGTCCAAAACTAAATTTTTACATAACCACTGAAGTAGTTTAATACCATGGTAATTGTAGTATGTTTAATATTTGTTAAATGCCACTTGTAATATTTTGTAATTTATGTACCATAGGTTCACTATTAATATAATAAAAGAAACATCGCAATCTACACCTGGAAAATCCTAAAGGGACTGGTCCCAAATCTGCTCACAGAAATTACTCCTTACACAAGCAAAAACCTAGGCAGATGGTGCAACATACCCCCCAATGAAAAGCAGGGGTACCATGAGTATGCTAAGGGATCTGGCATGCTCCCTCTCTTCTTCGGCACTGAGCCCAGTCCAGTCTTTCAATGTCCCCTGCCCTTGGACTTGCCCTCCCACTCGCTCACTAGATGTTGCACTGACTCGTCTCCAGGTTGGGCATTCACGACTGGCAGCTCATCTGCAGTGCCTATGGATGATGGACTCTCCGTACTGCCTGTGGTATTCCCCACAGCCTGAGATGGTGGAGCATGTCCTACTGTAGTGCCCCTGTTACCACTCTGCTTGGACTCTCCTCCATGCAACTTTGCGCACATTCGGGTACAGTCTTTGACTCTACCTCTCCTTCTCAGTGGAGAGGGGTTTAACCCTCCAGACCATCAGGAGATTCTGGCCTGTACCTGCACATTCTTGTTGGTTTCAGGGTGCATTAGAGAAATAATACCCACAGTTATTAGTCAACTTCCTTCCACTTTGGTTGATGTTCCTTTTGTGGGAGCTGGAAGGCGGGGCTTGATATGTCGTATGCTGTCAGTGGCCCTATCAACCCCAAGAAGAAGAAGAAAGCAAATATATGTCCAGGGGCCCCAAGGCTGTTGAACAGCTTCCCATCATACAAAATAGGAATTACCAATAGACACTTGGCTGGCTGTCTTCAAGAGGGAATTGGACAGATACCTAAAGTCAATGCCTGATCAACTGGGCTGTGACTCATATGTTTGATTGCCTGTGGCCAGCAGTAACAGCCCAGTTGATCAGGCCCTGATTTACTGGGAAGCAAGGTTGGGGACCAGGCCATGGGGGCATTGACCCCCAGAATGACCTCCAGGTACTGTACTACTAATTTTATTATGGAGTTGATAAGAGGGGTAAAAAAGGTGAGTGGGCATTGAGGCATCTGTAGAGGCAAACAGGGAAATACACCAGAGTATAGTGGTACCAACACTTATTGTATGGGTGTGAAGCATGAACTGGAGAGAAGTAGTAAAAGAGGTTTTGAGTGCTAGTGGATTGGACATCCAAAAGGTTGTGTGAGCATTTTAGATAGGAGTGAGTGGAGGCATGTGGTTTTTATGATTTTATGTGCTTTTGGAGTATGAGCAGAATAACATTTATGAAGGGATTCAAGGGAAACTGGTTAGCAGGCTTGAGTCTTTGAGATGGGAATTACAGTGCTGGCACTCTGAAGGAGGAGTGTAGATGATACAGTTTGGAGGGTCATCTGAACTGCACTGTCAGTTTTGTTCTGGCAAGACAGTGATCAAGTGACAGTGAAAGTGTTTTCTTGTTTGTCAGGTCACCCTACCTCAGTGGGAGACATCCAGAGTTTTTAAAAAATTACTAAATCATCTTCTTGGTGTTTCAGATAAGTTTGGTCGTCGCCCTGTGATTCTGACTGCCAGTGTAGTGTTTGCTGTTGGAGCGGTTGTTATGGGGGCTGCACAAGACAAGATAATGCTTCTGATTGGTAGAATTATTGTTGGTATTGGCATTGGTAAGATTATTGTTTACTAGTTATTAAATATTTTGATACCAGTGGTAATTTTTATTGTTCTTTTCATTGTGTTGTGTGCATGTACAATATAACTAAATACAAATTATCAAGACATGCCAATATAATAAGTAGTCATGAAAACCACTTCAGTATTAACAGGCTATGAGATAATATAAAGAAAGGTAACTAAAATTTGATATTATTGCATATAAATGTATCAACATAAAGGGGCAGTTTGCATTCTCAAAATCTGGAGTTTACCTGGAGAGAGTTCCGGAGGTCAATGCCCCTGCGGCCCGGTCTGTGACCAGGCCTCCTGGTGGATCAGAGCCTGATCAACCAGGCTGTTACTGTTGGCTGCACGCAAACCAACGTACGAGCCACAGCCCGGCTGGTCAGGAACCGACTTTAGGTGCTTGTCCAGTGCCAGCTTGAAGACTGCCAGGGGTCTGTTGGTAATCTCCCTTATGTATGCTGGGAGGCAGTTGAACAGTCTCAGGCCCCTGACACTTATTGTATGGTCTCTTAACGTGCTAGTGACACCCCTGCTTTTCATTGGGGGGATGTTGCATCGTCTGCCAAGTCTTTTGCTTTCGTAGTGAGTGATTTTCGTGTGCAAGTTCGGTACTAGTCCCTCTAGGATTTTCCAGGTGTATATAATCATGTATCTCTCCCATGAAACAATTGTGATTACTCATTGGTAGATGTAATGGCCTGAAAATGAAGATTATTATATTTTTATTAGGGAGATTACATTTAGAAAATTCAGGCTTTCATACACAAAATATTAACTTGCTGTGTTTTGCTCCTTGGCAAATTTCGGCAGGTTTTGCTTCAATGTCCGTACCAGTGTACTTAAGTGAATCATCACCAGTGGAGCTACGAGGGCGTATTACTGTCACCAACACACTGTTCATCACAGGTGGACAAGCTGTTGCCAGTGTAATTTGTGGCGCATTTTCCAGCGTTCCTGAGGGATGGAGGTAACTTTATTATGCATATACCAGGATAACACTGCTAAATGTTTTGTTGCACATGATTCCAGTTTGCACTCGATTGTGTTTTGACTGAAGCTGATTCATACAGCACTGTACAGTAATAGTTTAAGAAATTATTTATACAAGTACATATGTAGTTTAATTTTATAATTAAAACCTGTAAATATTAAGTGAAAACTGACAAGTTGAAATATTGTTTCTCCATATTATGAATGAGTTGTGCTCATGGTGTTCCGACCTTCTAATGAATTGCTTGTAATTTGGAATCTATTTTCTTATAAATATAGTAGTACAAAGATTGGTTGTGTGTTACACATGTGAAAAACTGTGGATCTACACTAATATAACAATTGTTTTAAAATGTTATTTCTTGATTGACCTCATTCATAATTGCAGAGACCCTCTTCCTAAGACGCTCAATAGAGTGGTCACTAAATAAAATATGGAGTGAATGTGTATGCACTTTTAATATGTTGTTTTAATCACACTAATATAGTGACATCATCATCAACAGGTACATGCTGGGTCTTGCTGGGCTGCCAGCTGTAGTACAACTTACAGGCTTTTCTTTCTTACCTGAAAGTCCTCGTTGGCTGGTTGCTCAAGGCAGGTTAGTTGTAGTTTAATTTCTAAGTTCCTTCAGAAAAGGGAAGTTAGCAGTTTATATGAGCTAACATAAAAAACTTTTCTTTCAACAAACCAGACAACCGAATCATGGTGGCCCAAAAAGAAAAACAAAAGTTTCTCTTTTTAATTTTAGTAGTGTATACAGGAGAAGTTACTAGCCCCTTCCTCCCGGCATTTTAGCAGCCTCTTACGACATGCATGGCTTACCAAGGAAGAATTCTGCTCTACTTCCCCATGGAAAACATAAAAAACATTGTGATATAATCATGAATTTCAGTACTCTTAAAGTTTATTGCTAGGATATCATAAATACTAGATACATAGGGTATCATACATACCAGATACAGTGGCATTGCTTTCAATATCCTGCTTGTATTTCTGTAGTAAATATTATTTTTTTTTACTCTTTAAAAGAGTTCCTTGATGCTGGTGAAGGGCTGTTAATCCAAGGATTAAAGCTATCCTCTCCCTGAGATCAAACATGATTGCCCCTCACCCCTCCCATTTCCCAGTTGTGTCTAACCCTTACAGGTTTAGACCTTCCCCTTCATATAATAATAAATATTAAAATCCTCATGAATTTATTAATAACAGTTGTACTGTGTCTCTAAAGTCTTTTATCTTTCACATTTCTCTTTGTCTCACTATTTTTAATTTTCTTTCAGGAAAATTCATATGTAGCTCTTCCATTTGCCAACATTTATCCAGCAGATCATACACAGAAATAATTTACTTTTTAAATTTAGTTTTGTGTTCCTATATTTCTCTATCTCGTGCTACTCTCTCTCTCTTTTTGATTTGCTCTTAACCATTGAGAATGTGGGAGCAGTCTTCATTATGTCTCATAATAATGTGTAAAACTTTTTAGACATTTAATAACTTGTTATTTAAAACAAAATTTTGTGCATGTGTGTGATCAGTATAACAGTGGATAGAGAAACAGGGGAGCAGTACAAGGAAGACAAGTGACTGGATCCTTGAGAAGAATTCTAAAAGGAAGAAATGCTGTTATTTTATGGATGTGAAAGGATTGTGCAGCACTGTATATATGAGTTTGCAACATTAACATTAATTGTGACTGATATAGCTAAAATTCAGGCTGTCAAAGTGGACAGTTAAGGAAATAAATGAGCAGTTCAAGAAATGACGAGGAGGCAGTAATTGCCCAAGATGAAGTACATACGGACTTTACACCTGATTGTATTCATCAGAATTGCATTCGTATTAATGTTGGTAGAATTACCGACAATGTGTTAGGTAAAAGGACAAATGCAATTAATGTGACATTTTATTGTGGCATAATAAAATGTCACATTAGTTGCACTTGTGTTCTTTTACTTAGCAGAATTGCATTCCTTTTAAATAAATTGTACCCAGTGCTATATAGCGTTTCTTCTTTCAACAAACCGGCCGTATCCCACTGAAGCAAGGTGGCCCAAAAGAAAAACAAAAGTTTCTATTTTTAAATTTAGTAATACAATGGAACCTCGTTTTTCGGCCGTAATCCATTCCAGAAGGTCAGCCTAAATTCGAAGTATTATTTCCCATAAGAATTAATGTAAATACAATTATTGAAGGATGAGGTTAATCATAGAATTGATGAGGGAAAAAAGGTGAGTGGTGCATTGAGGTATATGTGGAGTCAAAAAACGTTATCTATGGAGGCAAAAAAAGGAATGTATGAAAGTATAGTAGTACCAACACTCTTATATGGGTGTGAAGCTTGGGTGGTAAATGCAGCAGCTAGGAGACGGTTGGAGGCAGTGGAGATGTCCTGTCTAAGGGCAATGTGTGGTGTAAACATTATGCAGAAAATTCAGAGTGTGGAAATTAGGAAAAGGTGTGGAGTTAATAAAAGTATTAGTCAGAGGGCAGAAGAGGGGTTGTTGAGGCAGTTTGGTCATTTAGAGAGAATGGATCAAAGTAGAATGACATGGAGAGCGTTTAAATCTGTAGAAGGAAGGCGGGGTAGGGGTCGTCCTCGAAAAGGTTGGAAGGAAGGGGTAAGGGAGGTTTTGTGGGCAAGGGGCTTGGACTTCCAGCAGGCATGCATGAGCATGTTCGATAGGAGTGAATGGAGACGAATGGTATTTGGGATCTGACGATCTGTTGGAGTGTGAGCAGGGTAATATTTAGTGAAGGGATTCAGGGAAACCGGTTATTTTCATATAGTCGGACTTGAGTCCTGGAAATGGGAAGTACAATGCCTTCACTTTAAAGGAGGGGTTTGGGATATTGGCAGTTTGGAGGGATATGTTGTGTATCTTTATACGTACGTATATGATTCTAAACTGTTGTATCCTGAGCACCTCTGCAAAAACAGTGATAATGTGTGAGTGTGGTGAAAGTGTTGAATGATGATGAAAGTATTTTCTTTTTGGGGATTTTCTTTCTTTTTTGGGTCACCCTGCCTCGGTGGGAGACGGCCGACTTGTTGAAAAAAAAAAAAAAATTATGTACGTAATTCATTTCAGACATCCAAAACTATTAACAGAAAATACATTTTTTAAAGATTTAGTATATTTTTATGTACACAAAACAAAGAGAACTAAATAAAATAAATACATGAACAATTAAATCACTATTACATACCTTTAACCCTTTCAGGGTTTCGAACATACTAGTATGGCTTACGCCTAAATTCTAGCACCCTCAAATCTAGTGAGAGAAAGCTGGTAGGTCTACATATGAAAGAATGGGTCTACGTGGTCAGTGTGCGCAGTATAAAAAAAATCCTGCAGTACACAGTGCGTAATGAGAAAAAAAAAACTTTGACCGTGTTTTTGGATTAAAACAGCGACCTTGCACTGTATTTTCGTATTGTATTTATTGTTGTATTCTAGTTTTTCTGGTCTCATTGTATAGAATGGAAGACATATTACAGAAATTGAGATGATTTTGACTGGTTTTACAATGAAAAGTACCTTGAAATTGAGCTCAAAGCAGCAGAAATGTTCGATTTTTACCAAAGTTCAAAAGTAAACAAATCATGCTAAGCATCCAATACATGTCAACTGGTGAGTCTGATATTCTTTCACAAGTGCATTGATATTATTTATACCATTTCTACACTAATGCAGTAGTCTGCATAACAGTAAATCTATTTTTTGTGAGAATAAAAATTCAAAGTGGAAAGCAAAAGAATGTAGCAGGGGCGTGGAGACATGACTAATGAACAGACGAAATATTAGTTTAGTGCCAGGAATGTCTTTCTTGTTTATTCTGGACCCTATTTGGAAATTGGCATCTTTTGAAATTTGTGTGAAATTGGCAAAATTGCTAAATTCTGACCAGTGTATTGGATAGTTGAAATTGATAAATGGGTGGTTTCTTGTACTCTTTCGATAGAAAAAATGGAGTTCTAGCGAAATAGTTATGATTTTTGTCGACTAGTACACTGGAATTGGCCGAAAATAGGGCTCAAAGTGGGCAAAATCACCGATGCGTAAACATCGTCGAGACCGCTAACTTCGCAAGAGCATAATTCTGTAAGTTTTCCATCAAATTGCATACTTTTGGTGTCATTATGATCGGGAAAAGATTCTCTATCTTTTCATAAGAAATTTTTATTGTTTTTTTTTTAAATTTGGTTGACCCTGAAAACAAGTCTGGGAGAGGGCCTGGGGGACCCTGAAAGGGTTAATGAAGACTCTTGTTGGCTTATGGAAGATAGGGAGGAGGAGAGAGGGCATTGGGGTTATTACCTGGAGTGTACCTGGAGAGAGTTCCGGGGGTCAATGCCCCCCGTGGCCCAGTCTGTGACCAGGCCTCATGGTGTATCAGGGCCTGATCAACCAGGCTGTTATTGCTGGCTGCATGCAATCCAATGTTCGAACCACAGGTTTCAAAGAGGAATCCCCCTCCGTAAGGACTTTAGATAACAAGTCCTTCTCTGGGGTTACTTCCCTTCTTTGTCTTTTAATGCCACTAGGACCAGCTTGAGAGTCACTGGACCCCTGTTGCACAAAATAACTGTCCAGACTGCTCTTGTTTCTAGCATCTCTAAGATTTCCCTAAAATGGGACAAGGTTTTGTCACTGAACATGTTGCAGATATGGCTTATTTCAGCTTGGTCAGGGTGATATTTCTCCACAAAAGTTTGCAGCTCATTCCACCTTTGCATACATATCTTTAATCACTGAAGAAGGCACATCCTTCCCTCTCTCTTCCTCCTCCTCTGAAGACTGGTAGTATGAAAGAGATGATTTGAAGGCAGAAGGGTTATTGTGATGATTTGGCCTATTTTTCTTGCACAATAAAATATTGATGTTTTTATACAGTATTGCTAATAATGATATCCAGTACTGCATTAGTTATACTTATTGTGTGAAAATGGTAAGACATCTGTACATTTTATCATGACACATTTCCAACTGTTTTCCTTACTTCTCTAGTGCACATCCATATTTCTTAATGCACACTCACTTCCTCACCATAGAAGTATGTACTGTATAAAATTCAACATACCATTAGGGAATGTCACATCAACATGCAGTCATCAAGTTTGTGTTGTAATTGCTAATTTAGCTGAAATTGACAGGATACAGGATGCTTACGGAGTGCTACAAAAGCTTCGATATGAAGGCGCAGACCTTGACACAGAGTTGAGTGCCATAAAAGCTGCTGTTTGTGACACCTCTGATGAAGTAAGCTGTCTCTCATTGTCAGTAGATCAATATTTCTTTATATGTTATAATTTTATATACAGTTGGTGAATATAATTTTATCTTTTCTGCAGCATGACACAGAGCATTATATAGTAGACTAATCTGAAATTGTACAGGGAGGAATAGGACAAATACTGAAGTCACGACCTGTACGTCATGCATTGCTGCTTGGTTGTCTTCTTCAGCTCTTCCAGCAGATCTCTGGTATCAATACTGTCATGTAAGTACAGTTATTGGATCTACTTCTCTTCACACCTGTTGGAAAGAGTGCTTTGAAAAATTATTAAGATTTCTAGTTAAAATACTTATAACCATAGGACAACTATAAAAAGTTTCTTCATCTCGCTAATGATTATTTTTTTTTTTCACTAAATATTTCCGGCCACAATGGCATGTGTGACCAAATGCAACCTCAGCTGGATCATCACTAATTACTGTAATAGCAATAAACAGTTATGAAGTTGCCACTCACTGGTAACAGTGTTATTAGCCTGCCCCTCTATGCAAAGTATACAGCATTTTCATAGGCCTAAGTATTCGATACAAGATGTCTTTCACTGCTTATGGTAACAGCGCATGGTGCCTGTTATAATTACGTATTTATTTATTTATTTATTTATTTATTTTATTTATTTAATAATTTGAACATACATACAGAGGTACAAAAAAATACAGGTAAGAGCAGCATGCCAAAGCCACTTGTATGCATAGCATTACGGGCTGGCTTAAAATTAACTTAAGACTAACTAAGCAATGATGTAATCAGTGATAAAACATTATTGTAAACAGATAACAATAAAGCACAAATGAGTATTACAAAGACAGGTCATATGGTTGCATGCGTAGAATGGAGTATTCTGTTAGGTAGTGTATTTAAAAAATAACAAAGTTAGATTGGGTCTTAGGTTTAACATTTATGTGATATAATTGTGAGAAACATTTAAGATATACAATTTATAAGGTTCAGTTATTCAGTATTTATTTGGTTTTGGGTGAGTAGTGACCTTTGAGAAGAGACTTGAATTTATAAACAGGTAGTGTTTCTTTTAGATTTACAGGTAATGAATTCCAGATTTTAGGGCCTTTTATGTGCATTGAGTTTTTGCATAGCTTGAGATGGACATGAGGAGCATCAAAGAGTGATCTGTGCCTTGTGTTATGGTCATGTGTTCTGTTGAGGTTGGCAAGGAGATGTTTGAGGGGAGGGTTAATATCAGAGTTAAGTGTTTATGTATGTAATAGGTGCAGTAATAAGTATGGATGTTTTGTATGGTGAGTAGGTTTAGTGTTTTGAATATTGGTGGAGTGTGCTGCCTGTAGTGGGAATTTGTTATAATTCTGACTGCAGCCTTTTGTTGGGTAATTAGTGGTCTGAGATGGTTAATTGTTGTTGAGCCCCATGCACAAATTCCATAGGTGAGATAGGGGTAAATAAGAGAGTGATATAGGGCCAGGGGGGCTGACTGTGGAACATAGTACCGTATCTTCGATAGTATGCCTACGGTCTTGGAAATTTTCTTAGAAATTTGTTGTATATGTGTATGAAATTTGAGTCTATTATCAAGGTGGATTCCTAAGAATTTTCCCTCTGTTAGCTTTGTGATAGGTGATCCATTTATCATTATGTTAAGAGGGACATCTGTAGCTCTGTTACCAAACAGAATGAAGTAGGTTTTGTCAATGTTTAGTGTAAATTTGTTAGTCCTCATCCAGGTAGATATTTTCTGTAATTCGGTATTTACAGTATTGGCTAGCGTGACTGGGCTCGGGTGAGAGAAGATGTATGTAGTGTCATCTGCAAATAGTGTGGGTTTGAGTAATTGCGAAGCATTTGGTAGGTCATTTATGTACAGGTCTCCCTCAACATTCGCGAGGGTTAGGGGATCAAGAGCCTCGCGAATGTTGAAAAACCGTGAATGTTTGGTGCCCCAATATATTGTAGGGAAATATATTACAATACTGCTTCCTTAACTTGTTGAACCATGAATAATCATACAATACATGAAAAAGTCATAAATTGTACTAAATATATACATGTTATGCTTTAATAATGTATGTTATTTAATAACATGTATGTTAATAACATGTATGTTATTAAATACCACAGACTCCACCACTGCGAGTCCCTACTACCCTCCCTCCGACCCCCGCAACTGGCAGCCAGCCCTCCCACCACTCAGTGTGGTGAGTGTTTTGTTTGTTCATTATTTGCTATTAAACTACAAAATAAATAATGTAAACCCATTCATGACTGCATATTGGAATGGCTATTAGGAAAGGTATTAGACGGTGACATCATGTGTTTACTCTTGAACACAGCAAAGAATCGAACATTTCTGCTATTGCTAATAATAACAATAGTAATAATAAATAATAATAATAATAAATACGATATAATTGAAGAAGGAAATTGTACAAAAATACGAGGGAGTGGTTGACACATCGTCAGTGTGACTTTGTTTATGCTGGAGTGAACATTAGTCTCCCTGCTCTTCCAAACATTTCACAATAATTCAGCGGTTGAGGCAGTGGTATTTAATAACATATATGTTATAAATAATTATAGTACATGTTATTATTAATAACATGTATTATTATTAACGTATGTATTTAATAACATATATGTTATAAAATAATAATAGTACATATTATTAATAACATGTATGTTATTAAATAGGTGTGTGTGTGTGTGTGTGTTACCATTTTGTCCTAGGCACATGTCGAGTGTGTGTGTTTGTGTGTGTGTGTGTGTGTGTGTGTGTGTGTGTGTGTGTGTGGTGTGTGTGTGTGTGTGTGTGTGTGTGTGTGTGTGTGTACGTGTGTGTGTGTGTGTGTGTGTGTTGTGTGTGTGGTGTGTGTGTGTGTGTGTGTGTGTGTGTGTGTGGTGTGTGTGTGTGTTGAGTGTGTGTGTGTGTGTGCGCGACGCACGTGCACTCACCTAGTTTGAGATTGCAGGGGTCGAGTCCAAGCTCCTGTGCTGTGTGTGTGTTTGTGTGTGAGTGTGTATGTGTATGAGTGTGTGTGTGTGTACTCACCTATTGTATTCACCTATTGTGGTTGCAGGGGTCGAGTCATAGCTCCTGGCCCGCCTCTTCACTAATTGCTACTAGTCCTCTCTCCCTGCTCCTGAGCTTTATCATACATCGCCTTAAACTATGTATGGTTCCCGCCTCCACTACTCACTTTCTAGGCTATTCCAGGCTTGACTACTCTATGACTGAAGAAATACTTCCTAACATCCCTTTGATTCATCTGAGTCTTCAACTTCCAACTGTGACCTCTTGTGTCTGTGTCCCATCTCTGGAACATCCTGTCTTTGTCCACCTTGTCTATTCCGCGCAGTATTTTGTATGTCGTTATCATGTCTCCCCTGACCTTCCTGGCCTCCAGTGTCGTCAGGCCAATTTCCCTCAACCTTTCTTCATAGGACAATCCCCGTAGCTCTGGGACTAGTCTTGTTGCAAACCTTTGCACTTTCTCTAATTTCTTGACATGCTTGACTAGGTGTGGATTCCAAACTGGTGCTGCATACTCCAGTATGGTCCTGACGTAAATGGTATACAGAATCTTGAACGACTCCTTACTGAGGTATTGGAACGCTATCCGTAGGTTTGCCAGGCGCCCGTATGCAGCAGCAGTTATCTGATTGATGTGCGCCTCAGGAGATATGCTCGGTGTTATACTCACCCCCAGATCTTTTTCCTTGAGTGAGGTTTGCAGACTTTGGCCATCTAAACTATACAGTGGACCCCCGCATAACGATGGCATCGCATAGCGATTTTTCCGCATAACGATTACTTTTATCGCAAAATTTTTGCCCCGCATACCGATTAAAAACCCGCATACCGATTTTCGTCCGAGACGCGTCCAATGTGCCCTCAGCCAGCCTCACATGTGCCGCTCCGTCCCATTGTTTACCAGCCAGCCTCCGCGGTAACATCCAAGCATACACTCGGAATATTTCGTATTATTACAGTATTTTCGGTGCTGTTTCTGGAAAATAAGTGACCATGGGCCCCAAGAAAGCTTCTAGTGCCAACCCTGTGGTAAAAAGGGTGAGAATTAGTATGGAAATTAAGAAAGATTTTGAAGGGTTTGGGGCTAACCCTGAGAAGCCTATGCCAGTTGTGGAATCCATTGTGCCTACTTCAAAGATTAAGGAAATGTGTGCAGAGTGGGTTGAACTGCAAACCTTTATAGATGAAAATCACCCTGACACAGCTGTTGCAAGCCGTGCTTGTGACTATTTCAATGACAATGTTATGGCCCATTTTAGGAAAGTCTTGAAGGAACGGGAGGTACAGAGCTCTATGGACAGATTTGTTGTGCGACAGAGGTCCAGTGACTCTCAAGCTGGTCCTAGTGGCATTAAAAGAAGAAGGGAAGTAACCCCAGAAAAGGACTTGCTACCTCAAGTCCTAATGGAAGGGGATTCCCCTTCTAAACAGTAAGAAGATAATGCTCTCCCCTCCTCCCATCCCATCAATCATCACCAGATCTTCAATAAAAGTAAGTGTCATGTAATTGTGCATGCCTTTTTCAGTTTGTGTGTATTAAAATTAACATTTCATGTGGTAAAAAAAAATTTTTTTCATACTTTTGGGCGTCTTGCACGGATTAATTTTATTTCCATTATTTCTTATGGGGAAAATTCATTCGCATAACGATTATTTCGCATAACGATGAGCCCTCTTGCACGGATTAAAATCGTTAACCGGGGGTCCACTGTATTGTGTCTGCGGTCTTCTTTGCCCTTCCCCAATCTTCATGACTTTGCATTTGGCGGGGTTGAACTCAAGGAGCCAGTTGCTGGACCAGGCTTGTAGCTTGTCCAGGTCTCTTTGTAGTCCTGCCTGATCCTCATCCGATTTGATTCTTCTCATTAACTTCACATCGTCCGCAAACAAGGACACTTCTGAGTCTATCCCTTCCGTTATGTCATTCACATATACCAAGAACAGCACAGGTCCAAGGACTGACCCCTGTGGAACCCCGCTTGTCACAGACGCCCACTTTGACACCTCGTCACGTACCATGACTCGTTGTTGCTTCCCTGTAAGGTATTCTCTTATCCATTGCAGTGCCTTTCCTGTTATGTGTGCCTGATCCTCTAGCTTTTGCAGTAACCTCTTGTGAGGAACTGTGTCGAAGGCCTTCTTGCAGTCCAAAAAAATGCAGTCGATCCACCCCTCTCTCTCTTGTCTTACTTCTGTCACCTTG